ACGTTTGCTAAGAGAACACTTGTAACTGGGGGATTACCTGTAGTGTGGTGGTTCCAATGTTGTTAGCAAATCAATCAATCAGAATGGAGCTAGAAGGGACCTTGGAGATATTCTAGTCCAGCCCACTGCTCAAGCAGGAGATACTATACCATCACTGTCAAGTCTCTTCTTAAAACCCTCCAGTGATGAAGCACCCACAACTTCTGGTGGCAAGCTGTTCCACTGGTTAATTGTCCTCACTGTTAGGAAGGTTCTCCTTAATTCCAGGCTGCTTCTGTCCTGGATTAGTTTCCATCCACTGTTTCTTCTCCTGCCCTCTGATGCTTTGGAAAATAAATTGATCTCCTCCTCTTTATGGCAGCCCCTCAAATATTGGAATACCTTCATGTCCCCCCCTAGTCCTTCTTTTCTCTGGACTGGCTGCACTCAGTTCCTGCAACCATTAATTTATATGTTTTAGTCTTCAGGTCTTTAATCATTCTAGATGCTTTTCTCTGTACTTTTTCTAAATTCTCAACATCTTTTTTGTAATGTGGTGACCAAAACTGAATGCAGTATTCCAGGTGTGGTCTTACTAAAGTTTTATAAAGCGGTACTAATACTTCATGTGATTTTGATTCTATGCCTCTGTTTATACAACCAAGGATTTTATTAGCTTTTTAAGCCGCTGGCACACACTGCTGGCTCATATGTAAGGGGTCATCCACTAGCACTCCAAGGTCCCTCTCACTATTACTATATGAGTCAGGTTTTGCCTAATCTATAATTGTATCTTTGGTTTTTCCTGCCTAGGTTTAAAACTTCACTTTTCTCCACATTAAATGTAATTTTGCTGGATAGGGCCTATTGTTCAAATCTGTCAAGATCTTTTTGGATCCTGAATTTGTTTTCTGGGGTGTTGGCTATTCCTGCTAGTTTAGTGTCATCTGCTAATTTGATGAGTTCCCCTTTTATTCCCTCATCTAAGTCATTTATGTAGAGTACTTGGCCTAAGATAGAACTGTATGGAAGCCCACTGTTATTTTGCTATCATTTGTAGTCTTTGTAATGTTTGAAAAGTTTTAATAATTTTATATGTTTCACAATTTTGTTTTATGCTGCACAGAGTCATTTTTTTTCATTAGATCATATAAATTTGATAAATAGTGCATATAAATACATGTTGCTATTTTCAAGGAAGCTAAATCTGGCAATATATACACATAAAACGGATCAGAATTCCCGAGTGTTTTTTTCAGATAAGGATTTAAAAGGCAGGTCCTTAAGTCCTCATAGAGGGTGAAGAATAGCAAGGCATGAGCTGCAGTTTCAACAGCCCCTTGCCCACGGGATGCACAGTCTTAGCTCATGGGGAACTTTTTTGTATCAACCTTCCAAAGCTGCTGTAGGGACACCTTTGAACTGTGCTAAAGTTAGTGCTCTTCAGAATTTAGAAACAATTATGTGGTAATGGGGGGGGGGGGCTTGACTGTACAGAAACATTTGTATTTTTTTCAGATTGGACTATGGGAGTTGAGTGTGGCAGAGACAGAATGAAACACAGAATTTGCACTCCTTCGTTCTACTCAGAACCCTCATTTTTGCAGAGATACCAAGACTTTCCAAATGGCGATGGAATGAAGTGCTTAAGATATTTTTCCGTCACACTAAAGGCAAGGGGGAGAGAAGAGAGTTGTTTTAATGCAACTCATGTGTTTACAATATTGGATCAAGTTAACAAATCCCAGATGCCCTTTATCTGCTGTAGTTTTCTCTACAGAAGAAGAAAAAAAAAAAAAAAAGCTAGCATATATTCCGACTTGTGCTGCATTTCACAAATTGCATTTTATATAGAGCCCGTGTTTCTTCCTGCTTTGGCAGCTGCTCATTATCCACTGTCAAGATTGGATTTTCCAGGATTCTATTGTGTAATCCATATGTGTAATTATTGAATGTCAGGAATAGGAGCAACTGATAACCTTGGTATCTAATCTTCCCTGAATCTGCTGGTTCATCATCCTGCAACATTTTTGTACAGGGTAGGAAGTAATAAACCAGTGATAATTATTGCCATGAGACACCTTTGGAGGAGGAGGAGGAGGGGAAATAATTACATCTCTGTGTTGGGCAAGGTACCATTTCTATATGTTCACTTCCTTTCACATGCAGGAGAATGGCAGGGCCAATTTTTATTATTCCAATGGTCCTCACAACCAATTCTTTTCAAATCAGTCACACTTCAATGTTTTGCTGCCTTACTGCTAATTCTAGAAATAAGCATTTAACCTGCAGCTTGCATGGGGGGTGGGGGGCGTGGGGTAGTCATTGGAGTGGATCTGAAGATAGAGATAGAGCAGTGGTGGGAAACAATGGCCCTTTTATGACCTGTGGACTTTAACTCCCAGAATTCTTGAGCAGCATCATACAGGTCAGTCAGCAACTATTGTTGCCTGGTATCCTGAAAGCTCCTATCGCTGCTTGTATCACATATCCTGTCATAACAAATAAATAATAAATAAAGTCCTATTCCTTCTCTGAGTGTCTTGGGTTTTGTTGAAATTAGTTGATTGGGGCAGAATCAGAATTGAATTGGTAAAATCAGAGAAATGTTCCTTAGTAACTTGGTGGATCAAAAAGTAGCATCTGAACAGAGTCAACCTATTTGTTAATATTCATATGTGGGCAAATTTTTTGAAAAAAGACATATTTGTGATGCATATAGAACATTGTTTAGAAATCAGTAGGCTATGCAGTATTTTAAATACAATCTCCAGAAAATGATTTAGCACTTCAGGAGCATTAATACAATACCTGTTTGTTATCTTAAAACAGCCATACCTTTTCTTAGGATTGCAGGCAATCCTGGTGCAGACTCAAATGCTTTTAAGTTTTGCAGAGCAGTTCTATCTTTCTTTTGTGCTGCTTCATGTTTCAAACACTTAGAGAGTCCTTTCTCAAACTCAGACTAATGTGTAGGCCAAGAGATCTTTTAAGTACAGTTTTTAATGAGTTTGGACTGCCTCAATTAATATGAATAGGTTTATCATTCTGGCTTCTGCTCACCAAACCCAGAGAATCAGGAATATAAAAAAATAGAGTTTAATAACCTTGAACAGTCTCTTCCTTCTGCCTTAGAACATGACAGTGTAAGGCAGACTAGGCATTTTATAGCCCTTTGGCCACATCCAATTCCAGCCTTTTGGCTATCTCTGTCCAGCGTATGTGAGGTCAATCAGAAATTAGAAATCAAATGTAAATACAATACGTATGTGTCATACTTACAATATAATAACATTGCTTTAATTTTGAAGGTGGCTGCTTTTTTTTCTCCAATTTATGTATACATGTTCATTTGTATCTATACACCTTCACAGGCCTATTGATTCAGCTCTCCACAACAGTCCCAATTTTTCTTCTGGCCTCTTGGGAAAATTAATTGTCCACATCCCCACCCCATCCGGTTTAAGGTGTGAAATGGAGACCTGATAGCAGTTTGCTTTGTGGCAAAGAGATCTTAGAAATAATTGTGAATGGGATGAAAAGATGAAACACCTTCCTCTTTTTAGAAACTCCACATAAGCAGCTATAATGTTTGCACTAGGAAACTGTCCAAATCTTTTTATTTTCTATATTCTTACGATATAACCAGGAAGTAAGAAAGACAGAGGAAGAATGTTACAAAAACGCCATCTATCTCTGTCACTTTCAACCAAACAAAACTTAGCTAAACTTAAATGGTGCTCATCCTCAGGAAAAGCAAGGGAAGCAATATGACAATATATCTCAATAACAATAACAACAAATTACGTTTGAGAACTGAGGGGAAAGATTTTACTACTTTGCAGGAATCATATGTAGGTAGCTTTCCATAGCAATCAAAAAATCCAGGTTTTCTTTAAATCTAATTTTTAAACTATGCATTGTATACTGATCTTCCCAGATTAATATGTTTGTTGAAATATAATATCTCTTCACTGTCCTCACTTTTTATAATCATTCTAAACTAAAAAAAAATAGATTTTTGTACTGCTTTCAATCATAAGATATTTGGTGATATATAAGAAAAGAAGCACTAATCCTATCCAATAAAACTAATGTCCATTGATAATAAAAATAAGCCATCCAAATTCAATGTAAAATTTTCTACCTTATGACTATTTTTAATGTATATTCATATATAAATGTATATTAGTTCAAAATATGTACAGTCTAGACATATTGTAAACATGCATATCTGGTTTAAAATCAATATTAATGCACATTTTTGGAAAAGCAGATTGTTAGAGAAACGGTACAAAACAGATGTATGAATAAACACATACAAAAGTGATTATAAATAAAAAAGCTAACAATTTACCCTAATTACAGTGACATTTTATATTATTTGGAAAGCTAATAGAAGCCTTTAATTAATTCACAATCCACAAGAAGCAACTGATTAGCTTATTTTAATAAATCAGAAAACTGTATCCATTTCAAAATTTCACATTGATATCTCTTAGAATAAAGCAAAGTAAGTATTGACAAAGAAATGTTCATGCAAGAACCTATATTCAAGGATAAGATAGGATAGAAACATAAATGAATGCATTTATAATACCATAATGGATGGAAAGCATGATAAAAATACACCATGCCTTTGTAATTGTTTTCTCAAGAACTAGCAAATAAGTGCCAGAAGATCTCATTTGCAAAATGTCTGGTTGTTTTTACAAGTCTATATCTTCTTTAGGTATTATTGTTACCCTGCGTACTATCAGAAAAATAATTTAGGGTTCCAACTTGAATTGGGATTGCACAAGAATAAATACAAATGAGATCCAGACAACTATGAGGAAAGAAAATATATTTATTCTAAAAGCAAAGCAGTTTGCTTTTAGGAACAGGCTGCAGAGAAATGGATACAGCAGCAAATCTTTATATTAGGAGCTTCTCCAGGATGTCATGTGCTGATTCTAAGGTGATATTTGAGGTGTGTGTGTGTGTGTGTGTGTGTGTGTGTGTGTATTTCAGTCGAGGATTTGTATACTGCACGAGTGAAAAAGAGGGCTGTGAAAATATTTACAGACCCCTCACATCCTGGACTTAAACTAGTTTACCTTCTATCCTCAAAACGATGCAATAGAGCACTGCATACCAGAACAACTAGATACAAGGACAGTTTTTTCTCAATCACCATCACTCTGCTAAACAAATAATTCCCTCTGCTAGATTGCGGGAAAGGAGACTCGAGACCAGGGTGAACTTCAGCTCTTTATTTCCATGTATAGATCAGTACAAGATCTCGGAGCCACGGCAGCCCTTCATATAGGGATTGCTCGCGGCTCACCAGCCAATGACAGTTCTTTGAATCTCTCGTGATCGGTCCGGCCAATCGCGGTTGAATCATAGCGAACAAATCACAGCAGTTTAGTTAACCAATCATATTGCGGTATGTGTGGACCAATCAGAAAATAGTATTTGGAGTATGTTAATATAGGACTCCCCTCCCCTTTTGGTTCAGTCCTATGGAATGTAGTCCCATAAGTAGGAGGGGCTCCGTACCTGCCTACTTGACCTGCGCAGCTCAGTTGTTGCTTGGTCTTCGGCTGGTTCGGATGGGATCCTTGTTGCTCTCATTCTTCTCGATGGAACCGCCTGGAAGGGTGAGTCAGGTCTACCGCTGCAACTCCCACCTGGTCTACCTGGGTCGGTCAAGTTGTCAGCTCCACTGCTCCCACCTGGTCTTTCCGGGCTGGTTGAACTGGCTTGGCTGCTTTTTCCAGGTGAGGCTTCGTGTTGTTCGTCCGCCGATGGTTCCCTTCTACCGACGTCGTCTGCCGGTAAGTATTGTTGGTTTATTCTTGGTTTTGGTTGCGGGTGTTCGGGTTGTGTTCTGGGATTTTCTCCTTCCTTTTGGTTAATGTTTGGGGTTTCTCCCCCCCACCTCTGGTTTTTTATTAATGTCTATTTGTGGTGTTTGTGTGATGCCCGTGTTGTCGGTGGTTGTTCTTGACCTAAGTTGGTCGATGTGTCGTTTCCAGCTTCTTCCGTCATCTGTTTCCAGCCGGTACAATCGGAGGCCCGTTACCTGGGTTATTTTGGCTGGTACCCAGAGCAGGTCCCCTATGAAAGTTTTTGCATAGACTGCGTCTCCCGGAGTAAATATTTGGTATTTACTAGATGAGTCTGGTGGTTTCTTGGGGTTGTATGTGGGGTGCAGTCTGTCTAGTTGGGATCGTAATTTTCTGCCCATCAGTAGCTCTGCTGGGCTTTTGTTCATTGTTGTGCTGGGTATTATGTGTTGTATCATTAGCATTTTGTTTGTTTTGTTGTGTATGTCCCCAGTGTCAATTTTTTCTATTGGGTTTTTGTATAACGAACCATGCGTTCCACCCACCCATTCACCGCTAGATGAGCGGGCGCTGTCAAAGCATGCCGTATGTCCCGTTCAGCCAGAAATCTCTTGAATGACAGCGCGGTAAATTGTGGCCTGTTATCTGACACTAGCAAGTCCGATAGTCCATGGGTGGCAAACAGTTTGGTTAGTTCCTTGATAACAGCCTCCGTGGTGGTGGATTTCATGACGCTAACCTCCAGCCAGTTTGAGTAAGCGTCGACCATTATTAGGAATGTATGTCCCTTTGTGTGTCCGGCAAAATCTATAGGGACCCTTGACCACGGCCCTCTGGGGGTCTCCCATTCTAAAGCAGGTGCAGAAGGAGGGTTTGGTGTGGATTCCTGGCATTTTCTGCATGTTGCCACCCAAGTTTCAATATGCTTGTCCATCCCTGGCCACCAAGCATAACTCCTGGCCAGGGCTTTCATTTTGACTATGCCTGGATGTCCCTCATGCAGCATGGCCAGCACTCTTTTTTGTAATGTCTCAGGAACCACAACTCTGTCCCCCCATAATATGCAGACTGAATAGTTCAGTCTGCCGGTTCCGGAAAGGTTTAAACTAGTCACTGCCATCGGTTTCCGGCCACCCTTTTCCCACCCAATTCAAAACTCGCGCCAGACGCTTGTCTTTATTAGTCTCTTTGGCAATGTCTGACATGGTCAGGGGTGGGTTGGGTAATGTCTCTATATCTAGTGTAGATGTTGTGGGTGCCAGGTCATCTTCCAGGTCGGGTAGGGGGAAGCGGCTCAGTGCGTCTGCATGAGAGATGCTTTTTCCTGGTCGGTGTATTAGTTGATAGTTGTAGGCGGCAAGGAACTTGGACCACCTTGTCATCCTTGGTGACAATATGTTCGGGGTGGCCTTGTTCCCTGCCAGTATTCCTAGTAGTGGTTTATGGTCAGTGATAAGGGAAAAAGTCCTACCATACAGGTATTCGGGGAACCGCTTCACGCCGGTGATCGCTGCTAGCGCCTCCTTGTCCAGCTGGCTATAATTCCTCTCTACCCTGGACAATGTCTTGGAGAAGAAGGCAATTGGTGCTTCTCTCCCGTCTGGCAGAGTGTGACTTAGGATGGCTCCGACACCAAATGGTGAAGTGTCGCAGGTCACGGTCAGCGGTAGGGTTTCGCTGTAGTGTATGAGGACTGATTCTGATGTTAGCAGGTCTTTATCTTCTGGAACGCATTTTCTTCCCACTTTCCCCAGGACCAGGTGGCTGTCTTGTCTAGCAGCCTATGTAGGGGTTCGCTGTTGTTGCCTTCTGTGGCAGAAAAACATTGTAAAAATTAATAAGTCCAAGGAAAGCCTGCAGCTCCATTTTATTCTGAGGTCTAGGGGCTTCTTTGATGGCTTTAACTTTCTTTTCAGTGGGGTGGATTCTGTTTTTGTCAGCTAGGTACCCCAGGAATTCTACTTTTTCTGTTGGCACTTCTCTTTTTTAACTTTTAGTCCTGTGTCTTTAAATTTTTGTAGGACCTCCCTGAGGCAGCTTCCCAATTGGTTTTTGTTTTTTGCTGACACTAATACATCATCGAAGTAGGGCACCACCCCTTTTATTTCTTGCAATAGTCTCTCCATTAAACTCCGGAACACCCCTGGTGCCACGCTGACTCCAAATTGGAGCCTTTTGCAAAGGAATGCCCCCCGGTGGGTCACAATGGTTTGCGCCTCAGCAGTCTCAGCGTCAACTGGCAGCTGCTGGTATGCCTGCACCAGATCGAGCTTTGTGAAGACTTTTCCTCCCCCCAGTGAGTGTAGGAGGTGCTGTACCACCAGGACGGGGTAAGCACTCTGCTGCAGTGCATGGTTGAGGGTGGCCTTGTAGTCACTACAGATCTTCACAGACCCGTCTGGCTTAATCGGGGTGACTATTGGGGTTTCCCATTGTGAGTGATCTATTGGCTCTAGGACCTGTTGTGCAGTGAGCTTGTCCAATAGCTCATCAATCTTGGGTTTGAGTACAAAGGGCACTCACCATGGCTTAAGGCAGATTGGGGCAATATTCAGGTTCATGTTAAAAGAGATTGGAGACCCACAGTACTTGCCTAATTTGCCATTGAAGACCTCCTGGAAGTCCTTCATGAGCACCTCCTCCTAGTCTGTTTCAGCGATGTGGTTGATGCCAGTCACCTCGATCCCCAATGGCACAAACCACTCCAGTCTCAGTAGGCTTGGGCAGTCTTTATCCACTATAGTGAGTGGGAGTACCTCTGTATGCCCTTTAAAGACTACTTGAAAGTGTCCAATTCTGACCACGGGAATCCGGTTTCCCTGGTAATCTTTCAGGGTCAGTTTCTGGTTCTCTAATTCTCGTCTGTGTATGCTGGGTACCAGACGCTTAATTGTACTCCAGGAGACCATGGAGAGGTAGGACCCGGAATCTACCTCCATGTTGCATGGCTGGCCTTCGATGTTTACCTGCACGTGCACTTTTCGGGCATCGGCTGTGTTCGAATGCCCGATGATGACCATCTGGTGGGTCTCTACTTTTCACCAGCTTTCGCTGAGTCGCTTGCTTCATCCTTTGTGGCTCCACCGGCTCTCTGTGTGCCGGTCTTGGGTTCTGGGGGGGGGTGCCGTCTTGTCGCCTCGGGCTGTAATTTCTCTTGTTCCGGCAGACCTTGGCGATGTGACCCTGTTTTTCACAGTGCCAGCAAATGGCATCTAGGAACCGGCACTCTGAACGGGGATGGTCTCCCCCGCACCCAGCACACTGGAACCCTGACTTACGATCTTTCCACTCCCGTCGGTCTCATTCCGATTGCAGTCTGTGGATTTCCTCCTCTTCTTCTTCCATCTCAGAAAAGGAGTCAACGTTCCTGTGGTACATGGTCATGGCTTTCTGGCTTGCTTCTGGTCTCTTGTCCAGGGCTGGCGCAGCTTCCGTGAGTGATTGTCAGTCTACCGTGTTCATTTGATGCATCTTGGCTGCTGACTGTCTCTCTGCCTTGGCTGCGCTGGCTTCGGCGATGGCCTCGGTGACTGAGATGTCCACTCGAGCCATCAGCTGGCTCTGAAGTACGGGGTCCCTTAACCCAAGAACCACACAGTCTCTCAGAGCCTCGTCCATGTCAGAAAAACCACACACACCCCCAAGTTTCCTTAGCACTGCCACAAAGTCACTGATGCTTTCGCCCTCCTTCTGGTCCCTTCTGTAAAATTCATGCCACTGGATGAGGTTGGGCACGGCCAGTGCATAATGGTTTCGCAGCAGCTGGTCCAGGTCTGTCCACGCCATCTCCTTCACATCTCAGGGTTTGGCCAGTGCCTTGGCCATCTTGAACACTGTGGGTTCGCAGTTTGTCAGGAACATGGCTCTCTTCCTCTGGTCGTTCACATCGTTCAGGTTGTTGCTCTTGAGGAACATGAGGAATCGATCCATGTATGATTCCCAGTCCTCGGTCGCCTGATCAAAGGGTACGGGTGGCGAGTTGCTGCCAGCCATCTCGTCGGTTGTTCAGCTCTGGGTTGCCACGTGCTTACCTGGTCTCTTTGTCTCAGATCCCGCCTTCGTCGCCAGTGTTGGATCGCGGGAAAGGAGACCCGAGACAAGGGTGAACTTCAGCTCTTTATTTCCATGTATAGATCAGTACAAGATCTCAGAGCCACGGCAGCCCTTCATATAGGGATTGCTCGTGGCTTGCCAGCCAATGACAGTTCTTTGAATCTCCTGCGATCAGTCCAGCCAATTGCGGTTGATTCATAGCGAACCAATCACAGCAGTTTAGTTAACCAATCATATTGCAGTATGTGTGGACCAATCAGAAAATAGTATTTGGAGTATGTTAATATAGAACACCCTCAACACTGTCCAAGTATTTACTAAGTCTGCATTGTTATTACTATTCCTCCTTTCAGAGTTCCTACCACCCATCTCCTCCCACTTGTGACTGTATGACTGTAAGTTTTTTGCTTGAATCCTTACAATTTATATTGACTGTTTCCTAGTATGATTTGATTGCTTATAGTACCCTATGACTATTATTAAGTGTTGTAGCTTATGATTATTGACTCTTGATGAATGAATCTCTTCTTTTATGTACCCTGAGAGCATTTGCACCAAGACAAATTCCTCTATTGCGTATTCTCATATGCTTTTCAAAGTAAAAGGTTTAATTTCTATGGCAGAATTATTTGGTAAAATGGGCAGTCAAAGAAATTAATTAAATATAAATAAATAAGCACACTGCCAAAAGTTTCTCACATTGAAACTGTCTACCCTTTTTAACACAGGTAGTCCTCAACCTATGGCCACAATTGAGTCCAAAATTTCTTTTGGTAAGTGAAACATTTGTTAAGTGAGCTTTGTCACATTTTTCTTGCCATGGTTAAGCGAATCACTCAGTGAATACCTTAGTTAAATGACTTCCCCATTGGCTGCTTGAGAGAAGGTCACAAAAGGTGATCACATCACCTTGAATCCCAACAATGCCCATAAATATGAACCAGTTGCCAAGCATCTGAATTTTGATCACATCATCATGGGGATGCTGCAAAAGTCGTAACTGTGAAAACAGTCATAAATCACATTTTTTCAATGCCACTGTAACATTGAATGGTCACCAAACAAACTGTTGTAAGTTGAGGACTACCTGTACATTTGCTTCAGAGGTGGTACTGAACAGGTTCTGACCAGTTCTGGAGAACCAGTAGTAGAAATTTTGAGTAGTTCAGAGAACCGGCAAATACCACCTCTGACTGGCCTTGCCCCCATCTATTCTCTGCCTCCCAAGTCCCAACTGATTGGCTGGATCTTCTTTTGTTGCCCTGCACAGGAGAATGGAGCTGGAAAGCAGGTTAGTGGGGTGGGGAGGGAATGGAGATTTTGCAGTAATCTTCCTCTGTCATGCACACCAAGCCATGCCAAGCCTACCAAGCCATGCTCACAGAACCAATAGTAAGAAATTTTGAATCCCACCATTGCTTTGCTAAGATTCAAAGACCAGAACTACTTAATATTCCATGTAGCTATCCAGCTAGACATATTTTCCTAGTCTGGGAATTGCCCTCTTGTTCCTACCCTTTGTATCCTACTTTTAACCAAGTGACTGCCTGTCATCATCCTGTAACAATTGAATTTGTCCAGAAGCTTTGATCAGGGACATTTAAAATATATATATATATATATATACAATTTTCATTTGACCATTCTTATCTATGCACTTTTTGATACCCTCTATTTTTAAATACAATAAAAGTATACAAAATTAAAAGAAGAAAAGAAGAACAGAAAAAGAGAACATTGAATTATTATTTCCATCCTTCTTTGCACCTAGTAACCGCCATCTTATTTTTTTCCTTTTCCTCTTTGATTTTCTTAATCCCCAGAATCATAATTCATTAATTCAGTCTTTTTTTGCTTTCAACCAAAAGTCTCTATAAACTCCCAATCTTTTAGAAAAATCTTCTTTTCCAACACCTGCAAGGTCTAGAAGAGAAACAAGACTTACAGTGTATTTGCAAAACCAGATTGTTTCCTTATCTAGATGGCTCGCAGTGAGGTTTATTCTACAAATTTTCCCTGTTTCTGCTTAATAATACTTAGCTGTTCTCAGGGAAGGAAATTTTAAACTATCTGGCCTAAAGCTTATTTTATCACTGCTAGTCTTTTATGAAAACGGATGTGCTAGTTATTTTCTAGTCCTTGTGGGAAAATTAATATTTCGCAAAAGGATCATCAATGTAATCTTTAGATGTACACACATACACACAGAGACAAGATAGATAGATGATAGATAGATAGATGATAGATAGATAGATAGATAGATAGATAGATAGATAGATAGATAGATAGATAGATAGATAGATAGATAGTATTTCAGCAATGGTATTGTCTCTCCTTACTAAGTTTGTGACAGTTAATCTGATTTTCCTCTTGAAAAACCAGTTTGGTCCTGGGCATGTATGGAACCACCTCAGAAGTGAAGATAGAGGCAGAAATTCCTTACTTACAATGCTATTTCATTATCCCCCTTTAAGCCCAATTCAATGCTTGCATTATTATGTCTCTCTCTAACTGATTTCATATTTTGAATATATATTTGAAAAATGTTCCTCATTGGTCTTAATGTTCTTTGCCACATGGCACCTTATTATATATGTTTTACATTTTTTATCAAATAAGGATGAATTTTTTGTTACTTGGAAAAGACCACATTTTGAAAGAGGCCTTTTTGTTTTAGAAGTACAGTATTTTTCCCCTGCTTGGTCGTATTTTTACCCTGCTTGGTCGTCACCTTGGTTTCTTCTGTACTTCAGGGTATATTTCTTGATTGAAGATAGACATTCTAACTGAGTTTCTATTATTATAGTTGTGAACATTCTTTAAGCTTTGCAGAAAGAATTTATCCTTTTCACTGTCCTTTAATCTTTTGCCAGTCACCTCATTTTTGGAACTATCTTCTTCTGAAATCAAACATGGCCATGTGGAATTTTTTTTGACAGCTGTCTGTTTATTCGTACTCGAAGGTTCTGCAGTTATTATTCCCAATTAGTTCAACAACCTGTAGGCCTTTGACAACATCTGGGCATTATTTCGGATTAAGTTCAACAAAATATCATTGTACTGAATATCACAACACAATGATAAGACACAGTAAATGCAGACATTAAAATTGTCCAGTTGGCTCATACAAGATGATGGGTTTGATGGAGCCTGCATCTGTTGGGATAACACTAGGAAGATGATGATGAAGAAGAAAAAGGAGTTCAGTACAATATATTATTTCCCCCATTGGCTTTTTGTTTAGCTGTTCCTGGGCACTATTATTTAATATTGGCCTCTTTGTGACATCAAGAATCTGCAATTTTCCACTACATGTGATCCAATAGAGGCCACTCATTATTGTTACTCTTTCTGTTTCAGATGGTTCTCTAACTTCATTTTCTATCTACAGATAAGCTCTTGGCCATGAGGTGACAGTACATTTGTGGTACTAATTTGGAAGATTGCTGTGAACATTCACATTGTTTCAACAGGAATGTTTGCTTCATTTATTATACATTACTCTGCCCCTTTTTGACACACAAGGCAACTCCAGTATAACCGTTCCTTCTTGAGGGGTCCTTGGTGTTACTCCTTAGTTACTCCTTGCTAGCATTAGTGATGTTACCTAGTTTGAGTAATGAAATGTCTTCAGGAAAACAAGCAAGCTCAGAGAGCACCAAGGATCTGTCATGTCAACCCTGAGCTACATTTATTAGTACCTTTCTTTCTTTTCTGTAAAATTTATAAGCAATTTGCAGAATCAGCATATTGTCCCCCAAAATCTGGGTCCTTATTTTACAGACCCCAGAAGGATAGAAGGCTTAGTCAACCTTATGCATATACAACTGTAGTTTATTAAATATTTTCATTCTACCATGTTTCTGTAAAACCCTTCAGGGACTGGGTGCATTCTAAGAGATAATTTTTCTTTCTTTCTTTCTTGGAGTATATCCTCCTACCATAAGAACTTCATCCTCTGTGTGTGCTGAGACATATTAACTGCAGTGAGGTGCCTTATCTCATCCTTAAGGGCCTCTATTGAAAAACTCTGTTTCTCTCATCTTCTCCAGTTTAGCTACATTGGTTTTTGAGGGTCAAGTGTGTTCCTTAGGAGCTCATTATCACTAAGGGTTTTGACTTAATGGGAAACAGGCACATAGAGATACTCAATGCAATAAGTTAGGTAGGCATACCTAAAGCTATATGTTAGAATTTTACTTAGCTGGACAATTGAGTTCCTTATAGTATCAGTAGGACAAATGATTGAGACCTCTACAACTATAGGCTTAGCACAGTGTCTCTGATTGCTGTAATAGTTCATCCTTATGGCTATATAGTAACTACTCATGAGGAACTCTCTTGACATCAACACATATGCAGTAACTTTATGTAACAGAAATACCAACAGAACTATAATTGAATAAATATGCATTGGCTCGGTTTGCTTTTAAAAAATGAATGAAATGGTCTTATTTCACTTGGATCTTGCTGAAATCTGCAAAAAAAAAAGTTATCCAGTGTACCAGTTTTTCCAACGATTCCACCTCGAACTAAATGATACTTAGATTGTAATCCTGCCCCCAAGAAGTTGGATCTATGCTTCATCAATATTCCCTCAATGCCCATATGAAGAAGGTTATCAAAGCAATATTTTTTCCTTTTTTGCAAAACCAAATAAATTCATTCAACTGAGGAGAAAAAAACTTTTTTCATTGTTTTTCTTCATGAGATGCCTATTGAAAATTATATTGCTAAAAAAAATAGTTAAATATACATTAAAACACACAATTATGATGAAACGTGGGACCCAAGCCTCCATACAGCAAGACTTTGGAGCTCATTCTTAGAGCTTCACTCATCTAAATGAGTAGGAGAGGTCTTAATAAAGTCTCAAGTTGTATTTTGAAATAAGTGAAGACTTATATATTGCTGTCTAAAAATTACAATACACAATAAGACTACAACTAGTCCTTGGTTTACAATGCCAGCTGAGCCTCCCATTTCTGTTGTTAAGTGAGACAGTTGTTAAGTGAATTTTGTCCCACTTTATGACCTTTCTTTCCACAGTTGTGAAGTGAATCACTGCAGTTGTTAAGTTAGTAAGACAGTTGTCAAGTGAACCTGGCTTCCCCATTGACTTTGTTTGTCAGAAGGTCACAAAAGGTGAACACATGACCCTGAGACGCAACTGTAAATGGTTGTAAGTCAAGGACTACCTGTATTAATTCCAGAATATGTTGTTTATAGATCTTTATTGCAATCAAGATTGTTTCACTGACTGCTTTGTATGTCTCTCTGTGTCTCTCTGTCTCTTTCCCTTTTCCTCTTAAAACAAGAATGGCTATTATCCTGCCCGCTCCTTTTGCACTGTATTTTTTGCCTTCGTTTCTTCTTTTCCAACAAACCCATCACATTCCAAAGCCCAAACTGCTAACAGCAAGTGATGAGGTGGCGTTCCTCCCCCACGGCCGTCCGCCCCCCTTTTAATCCAGCCTCCTGTTTCTCTTTCTTTCTCTTTCTATGTCTCACTGTCTTTCCATATATTACATTATATTATATGCCATCGTGTCTCTCGCTCCCCCTCCCTGTGTGTGTGTGTGCGTGTGTGTGTATGTGATGGCATTCTTTTCTTTTTGGTCATGCTGCAAAAATTAAAGACACATCTACCCTGGAAAGGATCCAGGTTTTGCAAGTTTGCAAAAAAGCAGGGAAGGGGCGTGTCTCCTGCAACGTGTCTGGGGTACTGATACAGCTTTGGAGGACTGCCAGATAGTTTGAATCTGTGTTGCGAAAGGACAAAAAAAATATTTAGATGATTTGGTAGGGTTCTTTGGGTATTTAATTGCAGCCTGTTAATACACACACACACACACACACACACACACACACACACACACACACACACATGCAGACACACACACACACACACGCATGTGCACACACACACACACACACACACACACACACACACACACACAGAGGTGGAACTAGAATGCCTGTGTTCAAAGCTCATGGATTCTCTTTTGTGTCATTTTTATATTAAGTTTCTTTTAAAGCCTAGAATGCATTGGATTTTAAAGTCTTAAAGAGCAGGGAGTATTGTATGGGAGTTGAACAAAAAGAAGCAACCAAAGGGGACCCATTTTCACATTTTTTAAATCATCATTATCAGAACTGACTTGGGGAATATCAAAATCATTTTCTGGGATCACAAATCAGCTGAGGTTTGTGACCCCATCGTAATACAATTTCCGTATTGCACAAAATATCCAAGAGAATAATGTAAGAGATCTAAGACTAAAATTTGCCTTAAATAATTTTCAACTGCTGTGCTTCATTGGTTCAACATTGCAAGATCAGGAACCCTAGTGAGAATGCCAAATCTGAGAGGGGACTTCAAAACCTGGGAACTAACGCTGCTAGTTAATATGTCATCTGTAGCAATTTGGCCCAGAATCATAGTAAGTTTTATGAGAGGTATATGTGGAAGGGTGAATGAGTTTTGTACATTTTACTCTCATAATAACATTTTGAAGTAGGATTAATCTACCTCAAGGTAGGCTTAGTGAAGACAATGTTTTAGATTTTAATGTCTGAAAGTTGTGTGCATAAATACTTGGACATTTAGCAAATTAATAGAAATATATAGCAGCAGAGTTCTGGGCGGTTTTGCTGAAGAAAACACCACTTGTGTCTTTTCTCTTTTCTCATGAAAATCGGCATTGTGAGGGGGAATAGAGAGAAGTTTCTTGTACAATAAGAAAACAAGGGAACCATAACATTACTGGGAATGCCCATAAATATACTTAAGAATCTATCCAGATCCATTAGTTACCTGAGGTGGGCAATTTAAATTGGCCCATCTCTATTGCAGTGGTTAAGTGAGGCAACAATAGATAGGTACATTATTGAATGATCTGACCATCACAATGATCTGGTCATCACCATCTCCCTCAGAAGATCACCACACAACTACTGCAGGGCCTAGCATGTAGCACAGAAATTGTTCTGCAGTGGGCCAGAAATGACCTAGAACAGATCACATCTCAGCAAAATGAACACCCAAGGCATGGAACTGAGGTAGTTGAATACTAAAAACTAAGAGATATCAGCACCTGTCAAAATTGCTGCAAGGAGGGGAGGAACACTACAAAAGCAGTACTCTTAGTTTACCTTCAGATTTAATTGCACATACAAACATTTTATAAACTAACTTTGTGTTCACTGAAGGACAATTAAGTTAAAATAGCAATGCATTACAAGCCACATCTAAATTATGCTCAACCAGTAGAAGTAACACCAAGTACATTGTTACCTAGTTATTTGGTTCATTATACAAAACATAATTATAAGTTGAAAATTATTAACTCATTCTTCTGTAGAAATAGTTTGCTATGGTAGTTAAGTTATTTGATATATGTATCAGCAACATTTCCTATGCCTTCTTATTCTTATCCAAATTCTTATTGGCCACAGTGAAACATGAAGCCAGACGAAGAGGTGTTATAAGGTGAAAGTTTGGTGACTGATTCTCCCTAACTTTGGGGTGGATACTCTGAACTTTGGGGAAGATATATAACCCTAACCGTAACCCTTCACCCTCAAACTAACCTCTATTAACCTCACCCATTCCTAAGAGGTCTATAAGGGGCTTGCAAAAGTGCACAATCGTGCCTACTGTCCCAGTCCTACTGTCCCCACTTATTAGTTCCTATTTCTTGTATTTAAACATGTTTATTCTTGTTCTGTTGTATTGTAAGTTTTTGATGAATAAATAAATAAATAAATTTCTAGTGATTTTGCTGTTTCAAAGGCTATCCAGAAATATTTTGCATATTGGAGGAAAACTCCAAAGAGAAATATAGACAGATCAGGACCAATTCTACCCATTGGTACGAAACTATTTGAAAAAATAAAACTCCAACTACAGATCAATCTTTTGATTCCATTTGATTTGATTTGAAGACATACAAGCCTGGGCAGCTCATAAAATAGTGTCGTCCTATAATTAAAAAAATACATTTATGTAATACCAGTGAGCACACTAGTAGCAAGTGGAAAAAATTGAGATTGTAGTCCAGAATATGTTAAAGGTTTCAAATTATAAAAGGTTATAATATTTTTAAAGTATTCTGATTAGTAATCTATTCTGAAATCAACTCTTCTACTGGGATTACACTTGCAGTTTGATCAAAAATTTAAAATAGGCTACCTTTCTTTTTGGTGGGCTTTGTGATTTAAATATTTCTTTGTGGTTTAAGTATTTATTTTAGATATAGGTCTTCTATTTAATATTTTATTTTAGATATAGGTCTTAATCTAAAACAGCTATTTTAGATACAGGTCTTAATATTTCTTAAATGTTATAAACCATTCTGATTAGTAAGTCTCTGTTTTAACTATGGTCTTCAGGTGGTTTTAGTGAGTTATTATGTTCATTTTGATGTATATTATTATTTTGCATTGTGCATAGTTATATAAGCACTGAAAAATAAAACAACTAGTGTTGCTAGGTTCAGCTCAGTCAAGGTACTCTGATTAATAAAATTGATGAAGCTCCATGTTCTATAGAATCTCACTCAGCTTTTTAGCATCCCTCATTTTTGGCATGTTTCTTCCAGAATTTTCCAGCTGAGCATCGGTGTTCTCAGAGGCAGGGAAGAGAAGGGGACAAATGACAAAATGAACTATCCTAATGCTTGCACGGTGACATCACAATTTACATCATTTTGTTGTCATGATTAGAATCAAATGCCAATGTACTTGAAACTAATTCATTAATTTATTTATTAAATGTACAAACTATCTGACCTTCCTGAAAGTGTGGAGGTGTTTTTATTCTGCCTCTCAAAGAGTGAATTTCAGACCACTTCGCATTCTGGTGTTTTTTATTGAATAGGTATGACTGGCAGGCATTTATCATGTTTTAGGATGCTAGTGACCTCTGTCGCAGACTCATCTTAAATCCTAAATTTGTAAAACAACATTTTAAAAAATGTATTTCACTCTCCACTTCTTCAGAGATACACTATTTGTGTATTTATTTCTTTATGGGAAGTTGACTCTCCTTATGTCTTTTATTCCAAAATGCTTTGTCTCAGGATGTCCCTCATTTAGAAGCTTTCCTACTCTCATTTTAGAACCCAGGAGTTGAAAGGTATGGTTTACCATAGCTGGTAAAGATACACACACATTTAAACACACCCGTAATTGCAGCTTCTAAAAATGGTACTGTATCTTATGTGCTGTTGTTACAATGGTGCTTCTTTTTCCAACCAACGTGTCTCTTTGCGCTTTTGAACACTTATGGATCCTTGCCAAATAACTTTTTTTTTCTTTTATTACTTAAAAAAAGAAGAAGATGCCTTAACAGTTTTAACAAAAAGCTACAGTGGGTCTAATAATAAATCATAAAAACTTAATTCTTATATTTTTCTCTGTGGATTTTAAAATGCTTATTGTTGTTGCAATCTTTTTGATTTCCAATTAAATTTTGCAGAAGAAATAATCAATACAATAATGGAAAGGGTGGAGAAACTGAATTTTTCAATATTTTAGTCACATCTGTACTAATAAAACAATGTACTGTGTCATGAAGAAATGTTTTATTTTCAATTAAAAAAAACAACTTTAACTTTAAAATATTTTAAAATGGGTTTATTCATGTTAAATTCACATGCTACAGTCTATACTGACAATATACATTTTGACACTCTGACAGGGTTAATCTATATAATACTGTTCACAGAAACAAAACAGATATGTAGATACAACTCCATATGCACACAGCTGCAATATTTAGAAGCTAAAGAACCGGAATATGATAGAGAAATGTTTCGGTACTGATGTATTTTATTTATTTAAATGAAAGTTCAATTGAAGTGATATTTATATCACATCTTTTTCAGATTTATGTATTACTGATTTCTATGCAATTTCCAGGACAATGTGTTGAGGATAAGGTTCAAAAGTTTCCGTTGCAATCAGTAATAAGTACAGATATTTGGACTCTGAGCTTGTTGTGCAGAGCAATTCATACATGCAGTTCCCATCAACAGGAATAAAGAAAAGGATAAGGAACTATTGGTTGGTCAAAGAATTCAAATATATACATTAGAGTCCTTCAGCACAGAAGAAGCTGCTAACTCATAAGAATATCTCATGACTTTGCCCTTCTACTTTTTTATTATTATTCATTTTGCAATCTCTGCCCATTTCTTTAGTATGTTCTCCAAGCAGGAGAAAGTGCAGTGGCACCTTTTAATCATTTTCTTTTTTTTTCATTATTCCTACCTTTATATTTATTTTGTAAAATTAAATAAATTATTCCAACACTCTGAGATAGAGAAAGAAATGGAGAAGGCAAACCATCATCATCATCACCCAAACTTAAGTAAATTGCAGCATAAACAAAATTAATGGATATTTAATGCAAGTTCCCATGATCTCTAAAAGTTTGCTTTGCTCATATTGTAAGAAGAAAAGCTATTTAGAAAGAAATGCATGCTTTGCTCTATATCACCCTCTGGTGCCCCACCTTCACAGATGCTTTATTAGATCATTCAGGAGTTCCAAATTCCAGCGTACAATTTTCTGTAACTGCGTCCCTTTGGATATTCAATTTTTTCAACACTCTTCTTCTGAACTTGCCTGTAGCTCCTACTTTCCCAAGGAACTTCCCTTCCTTTCTCATTTTCATTCCCTGCCTCCCCCTTTCCATTCTCTCAGTTCATACCCTTCTAGTCCTCCCTCTTCTTGAAAAGTGCACTGCCAAATGAAAACTTCCACTAATTTGGGGATTAACATGGTCCATTCTTTTGAGACTGGGTAGAAAGGGGCTTGGCTTGGCTTCTCAACTTTTTGGGAGTGTGTGCATGCATGTGTGTGTGTTTGTGTGTGGTGTGCATGTCTGAGGGTAGGCTGCGTTTGCTGATTGGCTGAGAGGCTGGCCCCAAATCCCCCCCTTCAACACTCAGGAGAAAGCGAAGAAGGGATCCACCTCTAGGACATTGGATCATATAAAAAGGGAACCTAAAAACTTGACAGTCAGTAGGAAGTTTCTGCTGGGGTCTGGAGTGGAACTAGATAAAGCAGACCGTCCCTGTATGACTGGACACTAAAGCAGAACCTAGGATACAAAGAGTCTTCATGTCTAATATTTAGACATGTTCAGCTTTGTGGATTCCCGGTTACTGCTTTTAATAGCAGCAACTGTTCTACTCACCAAAGGCCAAGATGAAGAAGATGGTATGTACAGTGCTTTGTGTGTGTTTTTTTCACTCTCTGTATAAATTAAGTGACAGTTTTTATCATATCCTGAGAGGAGGAGAGTGCATTTTCTCTTATTCTTTAACTGTTCTGTGTTGAACATAAAGCTGTCTCCTTCTCCGCCCCACCCCCATCCCTTGCAAATCATTTAAAATCAGAAAACACAGAGCAAGAGTCGACCCTTCCTACAAAATAGGGCGGTGGCAAAGCAAAGAGAGATGTTAACATTTTGTCATGTTTTGCTGTAATTGAAATTATTGTCATATGTGCTACACAAATAAATCTGGGCAACGTAAGTACATATGACGATAAATTCTGAGGCTGTTGTTATAATTGTTAAAAGGGGAAGATCAGTACATCTCCTTGACCTTTCAGAAGTTTTTAAGGCTGCCTTGAATGTAGGGACAGAAGTTTTGGAAAGCTGAAAAGTAAAATTTTTATATCACCTGACTTCTTTTATATCCATGATAGAGCAGCATTTAATGGAGAACATGAACTTTTTGAAAAACGAACTTAAGCAGCTGTGGATAGCCTTGGGCATTGTGGGGTATTTTTTTTTTCCTGGTTTCCCTCTCTCTCTTTTTTCCTTGCCTTGGGGAAAAGCAACAAATTGGACCAATTCAAAGCCTTGTGCTGTCTTGCCAAGTTCGGCAACGCAAGGTTTGGGAGAGGGAAAGGGAGTGGGCTGTCATTGGGGAGGAACAGAAAGGGGATATTCAGCAAATGATGGAAAAATCATTGGAAAGTTGCTTAGAAAACTAAGACACAAAGATTGTGAGCCAGAGGAAGTGGCTTATAGAAAATAAGCCTGCTGCGCTGACTTGCTAAAGAAGCCTGCAGAAGCCATCAAAAAACTATTAAGTTGGAGGGTGGTGGGGGAAGCTTCAAAATGATTCATAAGGAAAATGTTTCAGCAATCTATCAAGCACAAAAGTCTAGACATCATTTCACAGACAAAGCCTTTTGGATGGCGAATGTTTCAGAATGACTTACCGCCTCTAGTCAAAAATAACCAGTGGTGACATCTAGTGGCCATGAAGAAATTCTCTTTTGCTTTTGGCTACTAAGTCATTCCGAGGTAGCCTTCCAACTCGGTTGTGGGGGTGGCCTTCAAAGTAATTGACATCAATCAAATGAGACTCCTGAGTCAAGGATTAAATATGCCTATTGAACATCTCTCCTGCCCACTTTGGGAGGAAAGAAAATTGAGATGCCTTAGCAGAGAACTTTGGTGACGTCTGATTTCAAATTGTGGATATTTTGCTGCCATCTTGTGGATAGTTTGCACTTTTATTGCAATATTCAGAGAAATTTTATTTTCCTATGGATCTTTTTCTTTTCTTGCTTTTAAAAAAAAAAAATCCCAGAAACTACTTATTTTCATCTTGTTATTTCCCATCCATTGGCGCAAATCAAAATAAATATTTTTTTCTGGTTTGGGAAGTCTAGCATTGAAAATATACATATATATCTTAAAAGGAAGAACTCTAGTTTAGAAGGACCTGGCTCTGTGTCAAGATTTATAATTATGGTATTCTTTTATTTACTTTTCGAAATGACATATATTAGAAAAATTCTTTATTTTGGTTTTTTCTCCTTTAATTACTACTCTTGGCCTAAGCTAGATCTCTTCCATTTATCATGCAAAGAGCTAGCAAAATATTTCATCCAAGTCCACTGCACCTGCCTTGTGGAAACAGCCTTGCATTGGCTCATGCATGCCATGTCTCCTCTCCGAAATTCCTTTGATTCAATTCCCCCAAAGCACACATTATTGACAAGAAAACCATTTCTTCCCATTCATGAATCATCTTTCGATTCAGATGCCATTTTTGTTTCTCTTTCTTCTTCTTCCCCATCTCTTTCTTGTTTCAAAAGCTTATTAATTTATTTTTCCTTGCCTTGTGTTTGGTTTGGCTTCAGTGCCAAAATGCTGAGGTTACAAATTGGATGTAACAACTGGCTAGAGATTTTGTTTAAATTCCAAAGCTACTTGAAAGAGTTGCTTTGGAGTGAGCTTGTTTCCTGTGTCATAGAACTGTGCTTGATGAAAAGCAGATGCGGTTTTAAAAGCCCCACAGAGAATCAAGTCAGAACAGTGCAAGAAAGGAAAGCAAATGCTGAGAAAAACACCAACACAGGCATATGTTGTTCAATGGCACTGTTCTTAAAATGTCTCCCATTTTGCTGCTTTTGCTAGCACTTGGCCCAAAGAAGAGTTGCTCACATCTGCATCTTGTTTCTTTTATACCTTCTCTTTCTCTTTCCCTTCATCTTACCTTTATCTTCTACAGTCGAACCTGGAAGCTGCACGCACAATGGAAAAATCTACAAAGACAAATCACTTTGGAGGCCTGAAAAATGTGTGGTGTGCCTGTGTGACTATGGTACCCCACTGTGTGATACCATTGTATGCAAAGATGTATCAAACTGCCCCAATGCTGTAGTCTCTCCGGGCGAATGTTGTGCAGTTTGTCCTGGATCCGGTATGAGCTACTGTATAGTTTGTCTCCTTCCTAGCTGCTCTATCATCCCATCATAATTGTCCACTTTCTTCTGACAGCCAGAACTGTCACTCATACATTCTCATATACTCTGGTAGTGATCTATTATTAGTCCATTTTGCACATTTAGTCAAAACCCTCCGCCATTTACTTAAAATGCTTAACTTACTTTCAGTTACATATCTGTTTCTATTATTCTTATTCACTCTTTAAAAAATATCTAATTTTAAAACTAATCAGTCATGCCCATATGAACATTTAACATTTATTTATCCATTAATCCATTTGTCACTTATATAGTTACTTAATGCTGAGTTTTCATTCTAAATACTAATGGCAAATCATTGTTCTTACCCAAGGCTGCTTTCTGATCTCTTTCCATCGCAATCTATTCATTTGGATTTAATATACATTTTTATGAAAATCATTTGCAGGCAGGGAGGACACTTGCAGGGGAGATAATATCTATGGAGCTAGGCAAGATTTGAGGAGAGTAAAGTTTGGGGAAGATGTTTTTAAGGCTACAATATCAAGGCTTTATTGCATAGCAAAATAGCATATCATGGGGAAAAATTGGGTACTACTGTATTTGTTTGAAATGTGCGTAAATGAAATCTGCTTGGCATTAACAATCATACATGGCATTTTCTAATTAGGCCACTTATGATAGGAGTTTCAATGTTCTATTATCTGCTCAAATTAACTGGATTCATCCAACAGAAGACAGTGACTCTGATAAGCTTGTTTAACCCATAAGCTTCATTGCATTAAAAAAAAAACCTCATGGTAGGCAGGAGAAATTTAGAAGCTTAAAAAAAACCCCAATGAAACCATTTGGATGGTCACAATTTCTGGTTCTTAATACTCTTTTACATTTTATATTCAAGATTCTATTCCTGCTTACCCAGATGCCACCGGTGTAGAGGTAATTATATTTTTGCAAACCAAACTTCCATTTTTTTAGTTATGTCAATTTTTTTTATTCCTGTAACAATATGAATAATCCTTTTATTTTTTTCTTTTATTTGGCAGGGTCCTAAAGGAGAACCAGGCCCCAAAGGAGATAGGGTAAGCATGTATATGTTTGGCAGGTTATAGTTCAAATTTAAAGATAAAAATATAAAAGCTGTGTTCAAAAGTACGAAAAAAATATTTTGCAATACTGTGATTCAATATGGGAGATTGGTAATCTATCCTATAATTGCTCATACACATTATAGCAATACACATTGCTATAATTTTATGATTTGTATTACAAATACACATAATTCTGCCCATAAAATATTCAATACCTACATTTGTTACACCTCATCCAGTGGGAAGCATATTCCAATTTCACTGATTTGCTGTAACTTTCTAAAATAACAGTAAAATAAAATAGCACCACAATTAAAACTTATATGTCAGTTTCAATATTTAACTTTAGGGTTTTTTTTTTCAAAATGACATATGACCCCTTCATCAGGGATACATAATTAATACTTCAAAAAGTTCCCATCCTAGTTGTAGTCTTCTTTTTTAAGGTTTATGGGAAATATTAAAGTATCCCCCATTCAAATTTTGCAGAGTTGCAGGGAATTTTCAACAAGTTCTAATTTTGCTCGTAAATTAGAATATACTTTCATAATAGTAATATCTGACTTCTTCCTATATTTGTTTTCAGGGACTTCCAGGCCCCGCTGGCAGAGATGGCATCCCTGGACAACCTGGCCTCCCTGGACCTCCAGGCCCCCCTGGTCCCCCTGGCCTTGGTGGAGTAAGCAACATTAATTTGGTTATTTCAATATTCCACATTTACAGACCCCTCACATCCTGGACATAAACTGTTTCAACTCCTACCCTCAAAACAACGCTATAGAGCACTGCACACCAGAACAACTAGACATGAGAACACTCTGCTAGACAAATAATTCCCTCAACACAGTCCAACTATTTACAAAGTCTACATTATTATTACTAATAATCCTCTCATCCTTCCTTTCACCTATCTTCTCCCACTTATGACTGTATGACTGTAACCTTGTTGCTTGTATCTTAATGATTTTTATTTACTGTTTCCTAGTATAATTTGATTGCTTATTGTACCCTATGATTATTACTAAATGTTGTAGATTATGATTCTTGACTCTTGGCGAATGTATCTTTTCTTTTATGCACACTGAGAGCATTTTCACCAAGACAAATTCCTTGTGTGTTCATACTAGGCCAATAAAGAATTCTATTCTAGCCCATTCCATTCCATTCCATTCTATTCCATCAAATTATGTGGCACCTGTTAAGCACCTGTTCATGGGTCCTCTTTTTGCTCTTTCCTTTTTTAGAACTTTGCTCCTCAGATGTCTTACGGTTATGATGAAAAATCTGGTGGTGCTGGCCTTGCTGTTCCTGGCCCAATGGTAAGCGCTGGTGTCCTTAAGGTTTTGGATGCTAGGTGAAAGGAAGGGATTGCTGAGGACAAGGAAGAAAAAGAAAAACACTGAAACCTGCAATAGATGTATACTTTAAGTTATATGATAGAACAGAATAGAATAACAAAGTTGGAAGGGACCTTGGAGGTCTTCTAGTCCAACCCCCTGCCTAGGCAGGAAACCCTACACCACTTCAGATAAATGGTTATCCAACATTTTTTAAAAAAACTTCCAGTGTTGGAGCATTCATCACTTCTGGAAAGCTAGTTGTTCCACTGATTAATTGTTCTGTCAGGAAATTTCTCCTTAATTCTAAGTTGCTTCTATCCTTGATTACTTTCTACTCATTGCTTGATGTAAATGAGTTGACTCTTCTTGGTTCAATAACTATTAAGACCAGAAGGTGAATCTATGGAGCTATAGACACAGGTGTCATCAAAAGAATTCAGTGAAAAAGCAAAGGTTCCCCTATGTGGGTTCATTTTGCAGGAAAAAGTACTGCAGAAAAGCAATGAAGTTAGACCGGAAATCCAAGTAATGGGTATTCACTCATTTAAATAAGGCCCATAATGATAGCATGTGTGATTTATAATAAAACTTTATACAACTAACAGAGTTAGTTACAAGAAGCAGGTCATTGCAATCAGTGGGGTTGAAGACCATAATGTTACAATGGCTTCTTAAAGATTATAATTACATTGTCTTCTTAATTGAATGGAGAATTGCAGTTAAGGACAATAACTTGAATTTAAGCTGTGATTACTATGTCTACATTTTTTTTTGTAATAAAAAGTAATTGAAACATGGCTTAAATTCATCCCTTAATATGGCTTTAAGTGAAGCAGAAATGGACAACCTGCTTTTAGCTTCTGAAAAGAAGGAAGCAATATTCAGATGTTTTGCTCAAGAGGGAATGATCCATTTTGCCTTGTACTTCACCTTAAACTAAAAGCTAATGGCAACCCACCCATCACTTGCAAATTACATGTCACTGTTAACATAGCAATTATAAAATACATTTCAAAAATCAATGTAGAAACTGAAGTTGGACCATGAGATATGAAAAGACTGATGAAAGTTAACTTTGAAAATGAAGTACAAGGCCAGACTTCCTCAACAAAACAGTTCTACAATGTATGGTTAATGAAGGTTTCAAAATGATCAAACAAGATCAGGGCAATATGATGATTATATAGACTTTAAGAACATAGATATCCACCAAAGTGAAGGAAAAATTGTACCAATTCAGTTTAAGCTGACTATTTATTTCTTGGTGATGTTTAGGGTCCAGCTGGTCCCCGTGGTCTTCCCGGACCCCCAGGTGCTCCTGTAAGTATTTTCTGAATTTTATATAATAACAAAGATACATACATTTGTTACTACATTTCAAAATCTTTTTATTCCTTCCTCATTTTTAAAGAGCAGAGACTTTGTAAAAGTGAGGATTTATCATGTTGCAGACAACAAGAATTTTATGCTCTGCTAAGTTATTAATGGACATCAGTCACACTTATTCAAAATTAGTACAAAACTGTTTAAATCGTGCAGAATCCCACACAGAACTGGAGAGAGAGTTTTATAGTGCAAAGGTGTTAGTAGCATTTTTGTGTGGAAGGCCTAGACTACTATTATTTACAATTATTTCTCAAGACAACCCAGAGAGGTGAATACAAGGGAAGAAAGACAAGTTATATTCATTTTCCTCTGTGATATTGGGGATGCCACCTTCCTTGTACAACTTTAAACTTGGAAACACATAATAGGCATTCATTCAGAGAAACAAACAAGAGACATTATTTGCTTTGCAGAACTTGCTTATTGTAAATAAATAAACAAATAAACAAATAAATAAATAAGACTTTCTTAAATCCATCCCTTCTACACTAATCCTAATATGTCAGGAGAATTTAATTCCTCTTTAATCTGCTCTGTATTTCTCAGAGACATCGTATTTTGCTTCTTTTTATTTACTGCACAATCAACCATTCAGCCTCAGTGACCTTTGGGTCAACATATCCCTAACAGAAATTTGTAGTCTATATTTGAGTAATGAAAATGGAGTGTAGAGAAATTCAGTAAATTAACTAGGTGGGAAAACAGTCAGCTTCTCTACGAAAGCCATTGTTTCATGCCAGGCAAAATGCAGGGCTAAAGATATGAAGGCAGGAGTCAGAAATGGAAATGAACGACCTGTAGCTGACAATGTCTATGGAGATTCTTAGTTATCCAGGTCATGGTAGTTCCAAAGGTGCTTTTGAAAGGGCAACTGGACTTTGTTTTTTCTTTGAAGATGTTTTGCTTCTCATCCAAGAAGCTGAAGAAACATCTTTTTGGGGGGAATGGGAGGGGGGGGGACGAAGAAAGTCCAGCTGCCTTTTCAAAAGCATATTTGGGACATGTCAGGAAATGTTTATGGATCTTCAATAGTGCAGCCCAGAACAAATAAGGGTGTTCTTTGGAATTGCTTTTTTGTTTAACGTATACATCCCTGCTTTAAATTTCCAGGGCCCCCAAGGTTTCCAAGGTCCCCCTGGTGAGCCCGGCGAGCCTGGTTCTTCTGTAAGTATTGTGTGACGTTCTTTTGCCTTTTGGGGGTGGATGGAGGGCCCTATATTATGTTTATAGCCAGCCAGAACAGTCTTCTGGTTGTTGTTTTTCCTTCCAGTTGTTGTTTTTTTAATTTATTTTTTTATTACCTAGAATAGTCTTTGAATGTAAACGTGCTATAGATAGGTTTCTGTTCAAGTCTGTTCTATCTATATCAGCAAGGTTATAAATAGGAGCACAGATGTATTAGTTCAAATTGTAATGTCTTTGTTTTTTTCTCAATAAATTATCTAGGGTCCAATGGGTCCTCGTGGTCCAGCCGGTCCCCCTGGCAAGAATGGAGATGATGTGAGTGACTATATCATTCTCTGGGAAGGAGGAAACTCCCCATTTTTTCTCTAATTCTCCATAGATAGAATATACACCTTCCAACCAAATATGACAAACGTGCTTCTCTCAACCTACAAGTTTGAGGGAACTGATTAATGAAGTATCAGTCCTGTCTTGTCTTCTGAAAAAATGTAAGTCTAGCAGTAGAAAACAATTGCAAAAATGATTTTTTTGTGGGGGATCTCACTTCTCTTCCTGGAAACTTACTCTTGTTCTCTTTGGTCCCCCTATTATGCACTGCAGTAAATGGCAGATCTCCAAAAGATAACTATTAATTTTACTACATGCTTGATCTTGCTATTTATCTTATATTTTTAAAAAAATACACTATTAAATCATCCAAGGGGCAGTTTAAGATGCCAATTCCTCAAAAGGTATTTGTAGAGTTCAGGTAACTTAACAAACTAGATCTTCTTAATTATTGCACACTATTTTTTCTTCTAACTTCCTGTTTCCAATGTCAAGATCAGAGATCTCAGAGTTCAAGCAATAACTTTTGATTGGTTTCTGCAAATCTTAAAGATCTCTTTTGCAAGAGGATTTAGGTCCCTTTTAAAAAAATACTCTCTGATTTCTTAATTATCACTGTTTTAGCTTAGGTTTTTTTCTGCTTTTTTTCTCCAAGGGTGAAGCTGGAAAACCTGGCCGTCCTGGTGAGCGTGGTCCTTCTGGTCCACAGGTAAGATGCCTTGTCCATATATGGAGGAAGGAATGATGGGTTAGTTAGCCAACAATTGTTTAGTTATGATGAATCATATATTGTCCAACTGCTCAAAATGTATTTTTGTTCATAGAAAGGATATAAATACAAAGCTTTAATAGTGAGATAGGTTGTGGGAGGGAAATGGAATCTCACAAATATGTATCAGGACAATTGAAAGATTGGGTTAGAGAAGATAAGCTGAAGTACTGAAATCATTTTGGTAGCAATGTTTGATTTCTAAATAATAAATGAGGGGGGAAAAACACCCTTTTTCAGTTCATTATCTTAAATAAGTGCAATGATAGGAGGCTAGTCTTGAAATGGGGACCTGGCTAAGCCACAGGCTGAAAAGTGAATTGCCATATTTCTTTCCTTTCTTTATTCTCAAGAATGTCTTGCTTGTTTTTTTCAGGGTGCCCGTGGCCTTCCTGGAACCGCTGGCCTCCCAGGCATGAAGGGACACAGAGTAAGCACGCTTCAATCATTCAACGCCCAACATCATTCACAAGTTCTACAATTCAAAATCTGCCAAAGCTAGATTACTACTTAAATTGTTTGTGCACGTCTTCCGGAGATTTTTAGGAATTGCACTTTTCAAAATGTTAATAGCGTTTGTAGTCATTTGTCAGAAAGCGTTCACTCCGTAATTCCTGGCATTCATTATGGCCACAAATATAGACCACATAGTCAAGTGAACTTAAGAATATACTATAGCTTCATAATTTCTTATGTCTCCTAATTTAAAAGGCATAGAAAACACAAGCAGACAAGTCCTTTCAACAGATTCTTTTTTTAAAAAAAACATCTAGCTAGTTTCTAAAAATTGGATATTCTATATACTTATGGTTCCTGATAATTCATCCATCCTGGGGCTCACAATAGTCAAAGTCATTTAACATTTAGCTCCTGTTAATGATTTATATGATGTTTGTACTGTAATATAGGTAGGTCTTGACTCACAACAACAGTTGAGTCCAAACTATTTGTTGCAAAGGGAAATGTTTGTTAATTTTGCCCCATATTTGACCTTTCTTCCCACCTTCATTAAGTGAATCACTGCCATTGTTAAGTCAGTAACATGGTTGCTGAGTGAATCTGTATTCCCCATTAACTTTGCTGGTCAGAAGGTCGCAAAAGATGCTCACATGACACTTGGACATTGCAACCATCATAAATATGAATCAGTTGTCAAGCATCTAAGTTTTGATCACATGACCATGGGGATGTTGCAGTAGTCATAAGCGTGAGAAACAGTCATAAGTGCCATTGTAACTGTTGAACATTTCATTTTCTGTTCTTCATCCTTCTTATTATCCACTTAATAATAAATACATATTATCCCTATCTTCTTTAGGGATTCAGTGGTCTTGATGGTGCTAAAGGTGATACTGGTCCTGCAGGCCCTAAGGTGAGCGTCCATTTTAAGTACATGCCTTTGTTTGATACAAAATTCCACCTCCGTCCATTTTAACAACTGGCATTGTCATTTCTTCTTTTCTTTCCTTCTAGGGTGAGCCTGGCAGCCCTGGTGAAAATGGTGCTCCCGGACAAGTAGTAAGTATATATCTTCATCCTCCTTTGATCCATTGTTCTAAGAAATATAGGCTATATAGCAATAATTTAGATGAACAATAGATGTGTTTAAATTATACCATCGACCAAAGCAACTTATTTTGCCCTGGAGGGAGAAAAAAATCTAATTGTATCATAGTACTTTGATTGTCTGGTTGTCTGAGACAAAATCTATAAGAAATAGCAAGAATATCTGTCGAAACCCGACAAAACTAATGATCCATTGTGGCACTGTAGAGAGAAAGGAAGATAATCTTTACAGAGATGTTCAGGAATTGTTACCTAAGCAAAAGGAATCTGAAATATTTTTTTAAGTCCAGTTCAGTGAGATAATATCCAGAAGTAACTCAGGCAGATGCCTTCCTAATTCCCTGGAGTATAAGAAGGAGGAGAGAGGTAGCATAATCAAATTTGTGAGATTCAGGGTACATGCCATCTCAGTGAAAGTAGTTTTAGTCTTCACAAGAAGTTGATATCCTGGTGTGGCCTATCTAGTGGCACTGAGACCCAGACAGAGAAAACAACAGTGGAATAGAAAATATTATGAGAATTATTATACTATTTAAAGGTAGTATAGACATCCTTTTGTAATTTGGCCAAAGATACAAAATAAGATAAGATAATCTAGTTCCACATTACTATTAACAGAAGGCAAATTTGAAAGAGCATACAAAAGTCATTTCTAAATCTAACCTTAAACGAGCCTCCAATATAAAGGAAAAATACTTGATATTAAGAATACAAGGGATTGTGTCAAGTAGAAAGAATGCTAAATTCATAATAGAACTGAGTGTTACTTTTAAATGTATTTATATGTAGCTCCATACCAACAGGAAAACCTAGTGAGAAAAAAGAACCACATGATATATCTGAGAAAAGAGAGGTTTTAAAAATTAACTCCTAGATATAGAAAAGTATAATTCCTATAGCTCTCTACAACCCCTATGGCTTTCCAGTAAATAAGTAAATTTCTAAAACTTACTTAAGACATGACAGTTTTAGAAATGATAAACGCTAAATATAATTAAAATTAATGGAAAGTATAAAGGTATAAGGATTAGATCCAGTCAAAGTACTTTTTAACTGATCTTTTCCCCTCCTTGTTTCTTCTAATTAGGGCCCACGTGGTCTTCCTGGTGAGAGAGGACGTCCAGGCCCTGCTGGCCCAGCTGTAAGTGCATTCCTCTCAACTTTTAAATTGCAATGTATTCATAGTATATCCTCTTTCACACCTTGTGTAATTTTGTAGGTAATTCAAATGCCCATTCTCCTTACAGGGTGCTCGTGGTAACGATGGCGCTGCTGGAGCTGCTGGTCCCTCAGTAAGTATTTCTCTCATTTGCTTCTCTCAGAGAGTCTTCCTATTGCATGATTGGAGAGCCTTTTTTCAAGAGAGGGGAGGTCCTTTAATAGAAGGGGAAGACTAATCTTCCAAGCTTTCTGCCCTAAGTGAGGATATTCTTCGATTCTTTCAAGTTTGCCTTGATTCTATTTTTCCTTATTTCAAAGGCCAGAGTTAATACAGATCAGGCAGTATTAAGAATTATTAATTTGGAATAGTATGAAAATGCTGTATAATCAACCCTTAATCTCTTTTCTTTTTTCTTTTAATAGGGTCCCACTGGTCCTGCTGGTCCCCCTGGATTCCCTGGTCCTGCTGGTCCTAAGGTAAAGATGATGATGATGATGATGATGATGATGACTGAATTTATTTGCTGTCCACCTCCTGTTTCAAGGCGACTCCAAATGGCCTTGAAAGATGACTAACTTGACTTTGCAATGCATTTGTGTTACAAAAGTATTAAATTTGTTCAATTTCGCTGCTGATTTTTTTTTATAGCTTTTCTCTTTTTTTAAAGAAATAAATTAAGAAATAAAGATTGGGGGGAGTTATCTCTCGGGTTTCTTTACAGACGAAGGCATCAATCTCTATCATACTTTACTATTTCTTAGCAAGTGGGCTACAAAGCATTCCTTGGGGAAAAAAATGTATGGACAGAAATGATATGCCTGAACTTGAAAAAGTTCCTGCTTTAAGCTCCCACCATTCTAGTTTGCTAAAGTACTCAGGAGTCTCAAGAATTCCTTGTTTAGGAATCAGGGGATACATTTGAAGTTAAATATAAGCCCAGATTTACATACCGAAAAGGGATTGCTGGCCTAGGAAAAGAGAAGGTTTAGGGACCAGATGTGAGAAGCTCATATTAAATTATGGCTTATTTCAGTATTTACCATAAGAAGGAAACAACTGCATGAACTATTATATGAAGTTTTAAATATTAGTTGAATAATATGCAATAAGCACATAACTGAAAGTTGAATAAGATGCAATAAACACATAGCAACAATGTTCAATAATATAAGAATGAGATTTAAACTTTATATAAAGGCCTCCATCACATACAACAGGCCTTGAAAGTCTGAAATGGATGACTCAAGAGTAAGACCTTATGGTATCTAGATGGGATTGGGAGATCATGAAGTCTGATTAACTAGGATAGTGTTATAATGCAACCAACTAGAAGATGAAATTGTCTTGGAGAGACTAAGCATGATGCCTTGGGATTAACCAGGGAGAAAGATGTGCATCAACCCAGGGAGGTCTGCACATTTATGGATCTTCACTGTCTTCTTGCACAGGGTGAAACTGGTCCTCAAGGTGCTCGTGGTGGTGAAGGCGCTCAAGGTGCTCGTGGAGAGCCTGGCCCAGCTGGTCCTGCTGGTGCAGCTGGCCCTAGTGTAAGAATTACCTCTTTCTTTCCCCATGCTTCTGATTTATTAAAAAAATGATGTTCCACTTCTTAATTTTAATAGCGCATGTATTCACTTATTTCTTGGACAGCACTTCAGTCTTCTCAAGATTAATGGTGAAGGTTGAAGATAATTTATTGCATGGTGTGCCAGCAGAGGAGACAAAAGACATGACTTATACATTCAATGAACTAATATAATAATTATTTGTTTTTGTTTTTCTCTGCTTTAGGGAAATCCTGGTTCTGATGGTCAACCTGGTTCTAAAGGTGCCCCTGTAAGTATCTTTTAATCCCAAGAACTCTCTTTATTCTTGTCATTGTCTTTATTCTTTGCCACTTCTCTCAACCTCTCTGCTTTACTTCTAGGGTGCTCCTGGTATTGCTGGTGCTCCTGGCTTTCCCGGTGCTCGTGGAGCAGCTGGACCTCAAGGTCCCAGTGGTGCTCCTGGTCCCAAGGGTAATAGCGTAAGTACTATCCAACTGATCTTCACCTTTAATCTTATCAACTATCAATTGGTGTCACCTGAATACATTGAATTATATATTGACCAATAATGAGAATCATATGCATAACAGTCCAGTCTTCTTAGAGGGCACTAGAGTGGACCACATGGATTTCAGATCTCTCTCTTTTAAAGACTATTGTACAGACTAACATCTAGTTCTCTCAGGTAGCTGTTCTATGATTAATGGGTGGTAGAACAGCATATTAATACAAATCTCAACTTCTTTGGCCACTAAAGGAGATAGAGAATCCATTCTACCATATCATTACTCAACCAGGAGATATATATTTGAATATTCTTTAGTATAACCTCTTCATCAAGGGTTTAATATTACAATATTTAAATTCATGTAGCCAGTTATCCAGAAGCGAACCCTGATAAAGATAGAAAAGAATATTGTTTTAAAATATTTTGCTGGATAGAACACCAGCTTTCTTGATTTGGCATCAGATTACATATCCCTTTCAGCAAACATTGGTTTTCAACATTTTAAAATGAACATCATTGCAATATAAACTGATACATTGACTAGATGGAATAGTTATAAAAACATGGAATATGATGGTATGGAAATGTGGGCTTTAAAGATAACCATTTCAAAATTATTGACTAAAGTTTTATTGCTCACAAATCCCACAGTTTCTTGTTCTCATAAGATGCTTATATCAACCGAACCATAGTGGAAAGACCTCTTTCACCTAGTTCTCTTCCATACCACCAATTCTTTATAAAGATTATCCAGTTGTTTCCCTAGATTATATAATTAATAAATTCTTACATCGCCTTATTTTGTTGCAAGATATAAAATAAGACAAATCCACTGTTGCAATGTTGCACTACATGAGATATGTTGTTTTATATTTTTGCCTTTTCTTAACTTTAGGGTGAACCTGGTGCTCCCGGAAACAAAGGAGATGCTGGAGCTAAAGGCGAAGCTGTAAATATTTCACCTAAATACATTTATAATTTTATTTCTCTTATTATTTTACTTTACCTCTCCTACAACTTATTTATATCCTTCACTTTATCTTCTAGGGTCCCGTTGGTGTCCAAGGCCCCCCTGGTCCACCTGGTGAGGAAGGCAAGAGAGGATCTCGTGGTGAGCCAGGACCTGCTGGATTGCCTGGACCTGCTGGTGAACGTGTATGTAACAATGTTTATTGTTTGTTAACCTTTGCATACTGAATGTGTTTAGAACAACGTATGCAGAAAAACATATTTGTCTTACGGGTTCATAATATTTAGTTAGACTGATGGAGAATTGCTAAGCTGAATTACAGGTGTTATTGAAGCAGGCCAGGTGGGAAGATTTAACTAATTTTAATAAGTCAGAGGAATGCCTTCCTGGGGAAAAGCCATCCATAAAACAAGGTGCGCAACATTTCAAAGGAAACTAAATTAAAACAAGGCACTACTGTTTCCTCTGGTAATAAGTTAGGAGAGACTAAGCTTTCCGTTCTACATGGCAGTGGCTTTTTAAAGCCTTTCCTTTATTTGCAAGGCATATGTCCTAATTTAAGGCAAGAGGCAAAGTAACAAATAGGTGCTTTTGACTCTGATCAGGGAACTGAATTAGAATTCTTGTGAAAAGAATATCATCCTGAATCTGAAGTTGGCATTTAGTGATGATTATGCCATTTAGCTTTTCGTTCTTTCTAGCAGAATGCTGGTTACTAGAGTTGCTGCAACTGTCTTTTTATAGTCACACAAAAACAAATGACTCCATATTGACATTTTGAAAGGAGAGACCTCTTTGTAGGTTACTTGGTAACAACAATACTTTTTTTCTAACAATGATAATTTTTTTAATCTTGTGTCACAGGGTGCTCCTGGAAGCCGTGGTTTCCCTGGTGCTGATGGCATTTCTGGTCCCAAGGTGGGTTGTATGGATCTTGTGGATAATAAATGGCTAAACATTCCCTTGATCTCCTATGGGCTAGCCAGACTCATATTTTTATCTATCTATCTATCTATCTATCTATCTATCTATCTATCTATCTATCTATCTATCTATCTATCTATCCATTCATCTATCCATCCATCTATCCTATATCTATCTATCTATCTATCTATCTATCTATCTATCTATCTATCTATCTATCATCTATCTTAGTGTTTGCATATTTTTCTGTGTCTAGAGCTGATTTCTGATTATCAAAATACAACCTTTGATTGTTTTTGCCCTGCCCTTCCAAGGTGTATAGGCTAGCAAAAGAGAAGCCACATCTAAAACAATATTTTTTTAGAAGTACTGATAATATATAAGCATACACATTTGTGGCTCCTCCATGTTCCTCTCTTTATTGAAGCAATTTGCTCGAGATCATGTTCAGTGAATTTGTGGCATACAGAAACTCACATGTCTAAGGTTCTTATTGCCTAGGAAACAGGAAAACTGAAAGTCTTCCTTGCCACATCCTTTTTATAGCCTTTCAATTTTGTCTGAAGGAGTTGAATAGTACTGTGAGGATTTATAAGAGCTAAGGGGCCTGGCTGGTTTTCCCCGCCATAATTACATGATCACTTATCTCACACACAAAAAGTCACTCTGGGTAGCATGGAAGAAGATGGTAAGAATTAATATATATAAAAGGCGATTATTGTTTTAGAATGTTTAGAATAAAAAACACAAGGCTAAGAGAGAACAGCAGATGTTAATAACAAAGGAATCACGTTAGTATATCTCACCCATCCTCTCAGCCCCCCATATCTGATGGCATAACCAGATTCTAGGGGAATTTAATAGGGATGGAACCAACCTCACTTAACAAAAAGTAGGAAAATTTATTCCTATGAATTGTATTAGAGCTGTTTTGCAAATCTTCATTGTCCTTATACTTAGTAGGACTAATAGCACTTGCTATCATACCTTTAATAGTCCTGGGCATTCTGCTATCTCTCTGGGCACCAGACAATATTGTAAATAAAATCCCTACTCTCCCATACATTTTACTTCACTGAAATCTACAGGGACTTTTTTGTTCTTTTTTTTTCTCTTCTAATGATCAGATCTTGCCTCCTCCCTGTCCATATTGCTTTTTTCTGGCTCATGTTTTGTTCCTTGCTCACATTAGAATTACCTAAATACATGTCAGGTGGGGAGATCTCAAACATGTGTGTTTGTTTGCCAAAAGTACAGAGAATTTTACACTTCTTGCTCAAGTTGTGGAGCTCTGGACTTTGGGTATAATTGTGAGGTTTGCTTTGTCTCAGAATCTGCTTTCATGAACGTGTATAATATCTGCAGCCAAAGCCATCATTGCCAGACATATCCATTCCTTTCCTTCCTTAGATACACTCTTCATAGTCTTAATATCACACAGAGGCCTCTTAAACTAAGGAGAAATGAAAATCTAGGATGTACCTGGTCTTAGTAGCTTTTCTTGATGCCTTTCCTTCTTCCAGGGCCCTCCTGGTGAACGTGGAGCTCCCGGCCCTGCTGGACCTAAAGGGTCTACTGGTGAAGCTGGACGGACTGGTGAGCCTGGTCTTCCTGGAGCCAAGGTAAGCAAATAGCAACTTTGCTCAGAAGAAGAGAGCAAATGGGAAAATATCCTCAAGCTGCCCATTGGCTCCTAGCCAGTGGGAAATGGGACACATTCTACCACACCTGTCCACTCCTGTGCATCATTTGGGCCCTACAGCGGCAAAGCACATTGATATATAACATTGATATATAACCTAGTTTCCTCTTTATTATATTAAACATTGTCATAAACAAGGATTTTACCATATGCAAAGTAATTCAATTCTCCCAACTAAGTGAATTAGTAGCAAGGTTATTTTTCATTCAATCACTTATATCACATTTCACTCATAGGATAATGAAGCAGAGAAATAAATAGACTAAATTAAAAGGAATTAGTTCCTTGCAGTGGTTTTATTGTTCTATTTTAGTTATGTTTCTGAGCATATGTGAACTGGAACAAATACTTTCAAAACTCATCAAAATGAAGGCAATGCTAATCCAAAATATTGGCTCCTTTTGGATTGGGGTTTGATATAATCATGATTGCACTGGCCATTTAGCATTAAGATATGAATGTATTTTCCAGGTGAGACTCTGAGGGGGGAGAAGGAAAATCAAGGCCGTAAAATAATTAGCAATGAAACAACAGTTGCAGGACTAAAATGTCATTAAAAAAACCCTTTTCATAAACATAAACTTTAATGTAGAAAAAATTATGGAATCAAATATGCCAGTTGCAAACTGAATTTAGGATTTAGAAATCAAATTCAGTTGTTCTACCAATGGTTTACATTAAGCTCATAAATTCTGTTATAGTGAATGAATTGCTTCCTAGCTCTTTCTTTGGCACAAAATTGTCACTGTAACTTCTTTCTATTGTGTGTTGTGTGTTACACTGGGAAATATTTTAGGATATTATTATTATCATCATTCCCTTACCCTAATCCTTATTCTCATCCTACTCAATTGAGTTCATGTATTAAGCCATTCGAACATAAAACCTTACAGCAACAAACAATTAGTATTAAAAATACTAAGATAAACCAGTGATGCTTTTCCACTGGGTGTTTTATTTTTTAAATGACTCTTCATCCTTAATCAAAACATTGCTTATTTGGTTGACCATGGATCATTTATTAATCATTCAAAAGTTTGCACACTTGAAGGCGGTTGAAGGGAAGCAAGAAACAAACATGGTCAAAACACAAATGAACAGTGCAATTGTGTTGCAGAAGAAACCCTTAAAGTACAGGGCATATTTCTTCCACAGAAGAAATGCCCAATCAGGAATTCTTACGAAATACAGCTTATGTGTTCAGGTGTTTTAAAATGGAAAACAGGGTTTCTTAAATGCTTAACAGGTACGTCTATTGCCTTAAAGCCTACAAAGTCTAGTCCAGCTTGTGCAACGTTAAAAGTTGTAACTTACGATCTTTATAGAAGTTTCTGTAGCATAAAAATCAGATCTGTGCAATGTCATACATTGTAGAGGCAAAGATAAGATATATAGCTTCCCCATCTGTCAGGCCCCAAACTCTAAAATGACACATGACAATTCTTCCAAGCCAATTTCTCTATTGTTTCATTCCTATAGACAAAATTTCAACCAAACTGAAAACTCTACTATTTGCACGCACAGTGTACTTTGTGAACTATTAGGGAGGACCTGTCTTCACCCTCTTTCTTTCATACATGATATAAGGGCAGAGTTAACTCTTATTCCTCTGTAAAGTAGCCCTTCCCTCTTAGGGATCCATCTTCTCTTTATATCTCATCACACCAATTCACAAATTTTCTTCTTCTTTTTCCCTCCTTTTCTAGGGTCTGACTGGTAGCCCTGGTAGCCCTGGATCTGATGGCAAGACTGGACCTGCTGTAAGTATTGAGGGTACTTATTGGGATCAGCCTTAAATTTTGCAAAAGGGAAAAAAAATGGGGGGAAAATGGGCTTATTGTTACCTTTCTCTTGTAGGGCCCTGCTGGTCAAGATGGTCGCCCTGGACCTGCCGGTCCACCTGGTGCAAGAGGTCAAGCTGGTGTGATGGGATTCCCTGGACCTAAAGGCTCTGCTGTAAGTAACACTTCATATTTACTTCCTGAATGACATGCTTTATGGGTAAGGTACAAGGATGACGTCTCCTTCTCTTCCTCAAATGGCCATCTTAGCACTCAAACCATGAAAAAACTATGACACCAGCAGTTTTTAATTCTTCTTTAAGGACTATCTGCTACTTCTTAAATAAGAGCAGCAGGTGGCTATATTAAAGCTCCCTCTATTTGCCCTTCTGATTTCTTATATGTCACTGAAAATATTTTCCAGGTGGTTACCATAAGAAACAATTTCATTTCAAAATTGATTTCACGAATATTCTACATGTATATGCTATATTGACATTATTGAAACAATTTACCACTATAGGTTACATGTCATCAGATCACTCTCAATTGTTAGTGACCACATAGATAGATTTTATTCATGATCTTCCTGTCATTATCAGAATCTCCTATTTAATCAATTTTCTGAGAGGCCTTCATGGTTTTTTTTAGCTATTACAACTTTATAATCAGTAACCACCTAACTGAAGTATAAATAGATTTATTGGGAGCAAAAGCATTAACTGCACTTCAGTAACTTGAAATAGATTGTTTCAAGAAGTACTTGGCTTTGGTTGGTTGTGAAAATCACTCTAGACTGAATTGGAGAGAGGAAATTGTTGGTAAAATAGGTTTCTTTTTTCCAAATGAAAATGGAATAATAGAGATACTGAGATTTTCTAAATAATAAAATATGCTGCTTGAGTCAGCCCTTTTAGGTAATCCAGAGAAGTTATACACCCAAAATTACTTGTTCTATCTTTACTGTAAGATTGCAGTGATGGAATTCCCCCCGCCCCCTCACCTTGATAATCCAAGAAATACAGAAGGCCCTTTCCGATTTTTGGCCACCTCCCATTCCTTCTATGAATCCAGTTGCCTCTTATTTGACCATTATCTAAACTGTGTCTCTTTCTCTTGCATCCCAAGGTCATTCCCACATACTATGTTTGAGTGAAAGACATTCAGTTGCCTTTCAAATATATATATATAAAACCATGCTTATGTTATACAAATTGGACCTGGGCATCCTAGAACTGCCATAGCATGGAGAAATACTAAAAATAAAATGCAAGTTATTGATTATTTCCCTGAAATAACTCCCATTCTTCATCTATTTTTTTCCCATCCTTTTCTAGGGTGAGCCTGGCAAACCTGGTGAGAGAGGTGCTCCTGGAGCTGTTGGAGCTGGTGTAAGTATTTTGTTCCTCACCCTCTGTTATTCACTTCAGTGATCTGGATGGATATTTATTCAAGGATTGGTTTACATAATTGCTGGCAATAAATAGCTGCTCAGAGCTCTTTTATATAACTGGGCAGCTATACGCATATTTTAAATAAATACACATAATAATTCATACATGTGTTCATGCATACACAGATACATATACATCGATAAATAAATGTTGCCTTTGTCTGGGATCATTAGAGGAAGCTGTGCGGGCTGCTACTTTTTCCCTATCTCAATGGACTAGAGTTTACATATACGTGCTAAGTTTTCTGTAGTCAAAGTCCTTTTTTTTAGGGCTTTTTGGATCTATATAAGAAGTGGGCAAGGAATGGAGGCTTGTAAGGGGGACTGGCTCAAAATCATCTGATAGGTTCTGGGCTAAACTCTGGGGTGCCCCATGCCAATCCATCCATCACCTTCACCACAATGAGATGGTTTTGAATGCAATGATAGAGAGAATGCAGGGATATTTTTACAAAGATAAATTATCTGATCCTGTGACAGGTGGGAAGGCATTTGGTGGGAAGGTTTTCAATCAACAGATTTCTTAGGCAAGATTTATTTTAAAAGCATTGGGCTCTGCTTATTCTTCCTTGGTTTCTCCCAGGGTGCTCCTGGCAAAGACGGCGATGCTGGTGCCCAAGGTCCTCCAGGCCCAGCTGTAAGTACGAACTTGGCTTCTTCTTCTTCAGTATTATGAATGTTTACCCCTTTTGGGATTCTGTCGAGGTTTGAATTTTCCTACCTTTTCATTGCAGGGTCCTGCTGGTGAAAGAGGTGAACAAGGCCCATCTGGTGCTCCTGGCTTCCAGGTTAGCAGGGTTACTTTAAAAAAACATGTGTATATTTTCTCTCTTCAATATAGACACCAGTTAAATATTTAATACAATTGCTTTTTCTTTCTTTTAAATGTTCAAATGATATACATTTATTTGCTCAGGAGAACCGAACTAAAATACTTAATATATCTGGTTGTATTGATTACAAACCATAAGGGCTGTAAGAACATTGAAAGAGTGTTTTCAGCTAGCTGGAGAATTCTGGGAGTTGAATTCCTGGGACTTAAAGCTGCCAGGTTGGAAAACACTGCTTGTAAAATATAAGCATGAGGTGTTAGTGAAGTACACATGTTGTACTTAGTCTGTTTAATAAGCTGTGTTTGATTGTCAAGCTTATCCAGTCCTATCAAAGCTAATATTTTCTTCACTTCTGATTTCTGTTTTTAGGGTCTTCCTGGTCCCGCTGGTGCCCCTGGTGAATCTGGAAAACCTGGTGAACAAGTATGTAATATGTTCCTTTGTGCAGAAGTGTTAAGAAGGAATTGTGGGGTCTGCACATGCTTTAAAGCAGGGGGAAAAATTAAGGACCCTTGAGTTATAGATCTCTATTTGAGAAAGGTTAGTTTGGAGTCTGAACTCAGTACAAATATTCTCCAGAATAACCTTACTTAGCATATTAATAATGTCTGCCATTTTCCCCCTTGGGACTTTTTGTGCATTTCTTTTTTTAATGGATGTATGCACCATCCAACAATTGAAAAGCTTCTACTGACATATGGAAAATCAGCCCCATATTTTTCTGTTTTAGAATTCCTAATTCCTACACTCTTTTAATATCTATAGAGAATTTTAGTAGGTGGAGGCTTACCTTCTCTTCAAGGCATTATTATGACCAGTTTATGATTTCATATTCTTTTGATGAAACCACTTAAAAAAACTTCAATTAAAAAAAAGACTTTTAGTAGCTTTCCAAAGTTTGGGACAGACTATCCTGTAAGGTCATAGCCTCTCTTTCATCCAGTGAGGGACATTGATAATAAGAGATCGTCACTTTTAAGGGGTGCTGGATAATTATGACCTAGAGATGTTGTAATAGTGGATTCCTGCCTTATTGTAATCTGGGACTACATCTTTCAAATCACTTTTTGTAAGAGTCTATTTCTGAGACTATGAGTCTATTATAAGGCAATGAGTCTGTTCTATTTTTATGTGGCATCATAGTTTCAAATGCAGATCAATACATAACCCGTATCTTTTTTTCCTGAAGATTTCAGTAGCATTGGGACTTGAAATTAAATAATAAATTTTCTGGAGAATTTCATTTTTGACTAGTGCATCATCAGTAGGGCAGCAGAACATGGGTGTTCAATTATTTTTTTCTATTTTTCTGAAGAAGAAACTAGCAGTTTAGGGAAGCCATCTTTAGGATTTATCCAGATAAATATTTATATTCCAAATAAAACATTTTGAAGGAAACAATCTCTTGTTTGTGGAACAAGATGATGGATATTTCTTTCTTCTGCAGTATATCTTTGTCTTAAGAGTTCTTATTTCCTTTAGAAAAAAAATACCTACCTTCTCAAATCTACCTTTCTATTTACCTTCTCTAGAACTTCATAACTGAAAGAAGCAAACCCCACCCCACCCCATTTAATCCTGCCTTCAGACATGATCGTGAACAATTCATTTCTTGCTGAACTGCATTCCACTTGTCCATCCCCATGTCAAATTGAGTAGATTATCTGCATGCATTCTCAATGGCTTTATCTTTTAACAATATCTGTTCTCCTTACTCTGACAGGGTGTCCCTGGTGATGTTGGTGCTCCTGGTCCTTCTGGTGCAAGAGTAAGTAAAGATCTTCTCCCTAGGTCCTTGTGCATCTTTATTTGTCCAACAAGGCCTCCATGCACAATTTGTAATCAACTCACTCTTTATTCCATTTAGGGCGAGAGAGGTTTCCCTGGTGAACGTGGTGGCCAAGGTCCTGCAGGTCCCCCTGGACCCCGCGGTGCCAATGGTGCTCCGGGTAACGATGGTGCTAAGGTAAAAGATGAATAAAGGATAAGATGAAAAGGCTATATTAAAGATAAAGATAGCCTTGAGTAGTCAGAATGATAGATCATGTATCCAAACCGATTAAACTGTTGCTTTCCTAGGAAAAATGCCATTTTTACTTTTCCCCAATGTGCCTTGTGGGGATCAGAAAAATTAAATATTGTATTAAAAACATTAGAATTCAGAAGAAGAAAAAATAAGATTTTTTAAAGGAAAAAATAGATACCTCTTTTCTTTCTCTCTCTCCCCCTCTCTCTTTGAAACCCTTGATTCCATTCCTGATCAATGCCTTCCTTCTTGTTGCCTTGATTGTACAATTCTAGGGTGATGCTGGTGCTCCTGGAGCTCCTGGTGGTCAAGGTCCTCCTGGTCTTCAGGGTATGCCTGGTGAACGTGGTGCTGCTGGTCTGCCTGGTGCCAAGGGAGACAGAGTAAGTCCATGATAGTTGAACACGGTTGTCGTCAAAATGGCAGCCATCATCTTATTATGCCTAAAAAGATGGAGAACAAGCAAAAACAGTCTGCCTTTTTCAAAGAACATCAAATATCATCTACTTTCCAGCTTTCTGCATGGCTTAAATTCCTTCGAGATTGTAACTAAAGATAATCTTGACACAGATATTCACGACTTGTCCATCAAGTCAGTCTGACTTAGACTGCATACTAAAATTTTGGATGGGAGTCTGGAATGATATTGAAATCTCTGAATGATATCAGTTCCCAGCATTGTGAACTGGGATTTTTTTTTATTGTAGACAAAGTATGACAGTTGTTAAATTTACAGTCTTCTGTACCCATGATGCTCATCTATTGATAAGTTCTTCTCTAATGCTTCCATACAAACAAGGGAGAATCAAAAAGGCATGCTGGGAGAAACAAAAAGGCAAAAAAAAAGAATTAATTTTATATTATCTTCCATTAACTGGCGTTCAGATATTTTCCTAAATGCAGCCGAAGCCAAATTAAAAGGTTGACTGACCTTTGTTGTCTTCTAGCTTGGCCTGAGGCCTTGTGATAAGAAGTACAACTTAAGAGGGCAATCCAGGATCATGATTTTTATAGTTTTTGAGATATGTTCAAGAAAATTCCTAACCTCAAGCATGAGGTGAAATCTTCTTATTTCAAGATTTCAAAATATATGAATATTGAAAAAGATGTTGAGAAAAAATGCAGAGAAAAGCAACAAAAATTATTAGGTGACTGGAGACTAAAACATATAAAGAAAGGTTGCTGGAATTGGGTATGTCTAGTTTAATGAAAAGAAGGACTAAGGGTGACATGATAGCAATATTTGGGGGAGGTCCACAAAGAAGAGGGAGTCAGTGTATTCTCCAAAGCGTCTGAAGGTAGGACAGAAAGCAACAGATGGAAACTAATAAAGGAAACAATTAACTTAGAACTAAGGAGAACTTCCTGACAGTTAGAACAATTAATCAATGGGATGACTTGCCTCCAGAAGCTTGGACAACTATTGGAAACCATGTGAAATGGTACAGGGTGTCCTGCTTGAGCAGGATTGAACTACAAGACCTCCAAAGTCCCTTCCAAATTCTATGATTCTTTTATTCTTTCCAATCCTTATGCCTTTCTGATCTTTTCAGTATTGATAATCTTCTTTTGCCTTTCTGCTTTTCTAGGGTGACCCAGGTTCCAAAGGCGCTGATGGTTCTCCCGGCAAAGATGGACCTCGAGGATTGACTGGACCAATTGGCCCACCTGGACCAGCTGGTGCTTCTGGTGACAAGGCAAATATTCCATCAACTTGTTCTCCCAAAACTCCTACTGATTTATGGTCATTGGAAGCTATGCCATATGTTTTACTTAACATTTGACATTCCCTGACATTTACACAGATCTGGGCATGAATTGAACTAGCTGCTATTTTCATGTCAAACTTAGATTGTCGTTTTTTGTGTGTGAAAGCACCAGGGAAAGCAAAATGGCATAAATGAGAAGATAAGCCAATATGCAGATATGTATCTAGGACATATTGCCTGGAAGACTTTTTGTAGCAAGTTCTAGACTTTAAGAAAATCCTCTGGTTAATTTTAGTTATAACTTTTGATCCTGAGGATAGCTTTTTACAAATGCTAGAAACTAAATCAGTGAGATATTCATTGGTTTCATTTATTTCAAGCAAAGTAAGCCAATGTGCACCTTCCATTTTAATACACAGACTAGAATTCAGTTATTCTTTGGATATTACACTTCTCCATATTTTATGGTGCAGTTCCTGGCTTATAACATATGTTTTTATGAGAAATGCATTAAAATAATGAGTCTATTTTACAATTAAATGAATTCAAAATACCAAGATTAAAAATGTCATTTTATATAGATTTTAAAAACACCCTATTTAATGTGCAAACAGTTTGAAGTATATTTGTAAATAAATATAGACTAGAAACTGACTAATCTACCCACCCAAAGGACATGATCAGTTTTCCCACCTCTCATCTCCCTCTCTCTCTTGATACCTTTAATCATTGTTGTGTTATTTCAGCTTAACAGTCATAAATAATAGAAAACTGAATTTTTGTATTGAATCTCTGGTTAAAAATGAAGGCATATTGTCCATTTTTAAAAATTTTATGTGATTGGAAAAAGAAGCATTTGTGATTTCTATCAAAGTAGTGAATAGTACCTAATGTAAGACTGACTTATCAAAATGGAATTATTCTTATAGTACATTTTTAATGAATAGAAAGCTATTACTAGGTCTGGTGCTTAACCGTGTTGCTTTTTCTTCTTACCCAGGGAGAAAGTGGTCCCGCTGGCCCTGCTGGCCCCACTGGTGCACGTGGTGCTCCTGTAAGTAATTTACCTTCCTAGATTTGTTTTTTATTTTGCCTTGAGGTGGCTTGTCTTGAAATGCAGCTTATAAAGCTCTTGCTTAGCTAGACAGCTTTTATCCTTTTTTCTTAACTTTGCATTGCTTTCATTCTTCATGACATTTTCTGTCTCTTTCTTGTCCTTCCCAGGGAGACCGTGGTGAACCTGGACCTGCTGGACCTGCTGGATTTGCTGGACCCCCTGTAAGTATGATGGAAAATCTCTTCTGCTTCTCAGGAATGCCATTAAAATGCTCGCATCCCCTTATAGCTATAATGAGGTGAAGGCTTTCTTCACACAAAATGCTTAAAGTTAGAAGTCTAGCAGATATTAATGCAACATGTTAAAACCCAATAAGTGTGTGATTTGATTGGGTGTTTTCTGTACTTTAGCTTATTATGTGAATCCAGCCCATTAGATAAATGTGTGATCTGGTATTAACCAAGACTCTGGATTAATTTAGTAGTCAATTTACTGTGTTATGTCATTATAAGAACATAGCAAGTGAATCAGAAAACAGCCATATATTACCATCAAATGATCTTGGTAGGAAAAGAAAGTTGAACCAATCAATTCCAGAGTTGGGATGATAGTCAATTTGTCCTTACCCATAACCTAATTACAGTGGTTAGATAGGTATGAATGAATACAAATAATTTTTCCAATAATATTTCATACTCTGAACCACTTTGGAACTCACCGAAACCAACAGAGATCCAGAAAGTAGGTCACTGTGTCCAGCTGGATTTGTGTTAATGGTATTTTTCAGAAGCAAATGATTTGGATTAATAATAGCAGTCTCAGAACTAGTTTGAGTGAAATACCAAGAACATTAGACAGGTTATTCTTGTTGCAAGTTCTTTAATTTGTGCATCTCAATTTTTTGGTTCTACCAATTCTCTGAGTGTGATTGGAAAGGTAGATTATAATTGCTCTCCAAGCATTCCTTGAGCTAGTTACTGAAAATTAAATGTTTATCCCAAATCCAGAAAACTGTATACAGTGATACCTTGGTACTCATTGCTAATTGGTTCCGGGAGGCAGGATAAGTGCCAAAAACAATGAGTACCAAACAAGTTTTTCCCATAAGGAATAATGTAGTAAATCACAAGGTAGTTGACAGCAACCGGTCCTAGTTTGTGCATTGAGTGCTCAACAGATGATGAGTAAAGGGACAAAATTTTCACATCAAAATGCAATAAGTACCAAATTTGATGAGTTTCAAAGCAGTTGAGTGCCAGGGTACAATTTTAACAGGAAACTAGAAGTTTGTTGAAGGATTGGTTTAGTTAGATATATTTGGAAAATGCATAGAAAGGTAGAAATTAAATCTCATAGAACCAATATACACCTGTGCCTCTGTCTCCACCTCCCCGATCTTCACCATCCGTGTTGTTTCTGCTCCAATAGGGAGCTGATGGACAACCAGGCGCTAAAGGTGAACCCGGTGATGCTGGTGCTAAAGGTGATGCTGGTCCTCCTGGTCCCGCTGGCGCTACTGGCCCCGCTGGCCCTGCTGTAAGTTCTTGTTCGCCACTTCCCACTCTCTTCCATGAAAATTTGCCCTCCTCTCAGCCTTTAGTTTCATGCTAATCTCTCCCTATTGATTGCAGGGTCCCGTTGGTGCTCCTGGCCCCAAAGGTGCTCGTGGAAATGCTGGCCCCCCTGTAAGTATGGTTTCCCCCTCTATATTATTAAATCAGATGCTATGTTATAAAATGGTGGTTCACTAAGGATTCAAATTATTGTTCCTGTTTTCAAAGAATGCAGAATTCAATATCGGATAAAGGAGAATATTTGTGGCTCAGGGTTAGAAAGGAAGTCCTTGGTGCTCTCTGAGCTTGCTTGTTTTTTTTTAAAAAAAAACGTTCTGATTTCTATTTTTTTTATTTTCCTAAATTGATTTAGGAAATTAATAAAACTTTCAGCACTTATGAAGTGCTGAACAGAATACAAAAGAGACAACTTTTCTCTAAGAGCCTTTAATTTACATTAAGTAGTTGGGACAGGATCTTAAATAAATATCATTTAAATATCATATTAAATAAATATGATGTCCCTATTAAAAAGGTCTCACTAGCTGACTTAATGCCATGTATGATAGTGAAAGAATCCTATTCTAGATCCTGTCTAAAACATTCTAGCAGATATTTGCACCATATACGCTTACTTGGCTAATTTTTTGGGATTCCCAGTTAGCAGTTCAGAAATGCATCAGAAATAAAAGCATCTCCATGTAAATGGTGCATCCAGACAAGGTGTTAAAAGGTCTGAGAGCTTTTCGCACCAGCTTTCACATTTGTGAATCAGAACAAAACAATTGCATTCTCTGGAAGGTGGTACATACAGTGAACTTGTGTTAGTCTTCTTTTGTACAAAAGGATAATTGAAAATGGAATGTTTCTTTATTTTTATAGGGTGCTACTGGATTCCCTGGAGCTTCTGGAAGAGTTGGACCTCCTGGCCCATCTGTAAGTAACCACACAGTTTCATCAATAAATTGGGGGGGGGGGGGAATGGGGAAAATCCTCAAAACTTCAAAACGGCTGTCAGGATGGAAAGGAGAATTTTTGCCCCTTTGGCAAATGATGATCATAATGTTAATTATAAAGAGGAAAATGTCACTTATGTAAGAGAAGGCAGAAGAAATTCAGGTTTTAATATGCATTGACATAAATGCAAATTAATTTTCTTTTGTCTCTTTCTTGAGACTAAAAATTTATAAATTTCAATGAGTATTCAATCTAATGATTAACTCTGAACTGGAAGCTTTAAAATATTTTACTTACAAACAGGCTTTGCACCCAGTTTTGTTTTGTTTTAATAAATTGTTGACTGAAAGAGGTCAGCACACAAATTAAAGCATTTGTAATGGAATACAGCTTAGTAGTTCAGTGTTGTGGAAATTTGGTAGGTATTTCAGTTCAGAAATACACAACAAAGTGAAGGAATGAACAGGAAAAGTATATTAGGAATATATAATACTGATATGATAGATATATCTTATTTCCCAGAGAATTCTGGGAGTTGTTGTTAGAGAGTACAGATTAAGATCTCAAAGAGGAAAATATTAAAACTCTCATCATGAATCTCTCAAATTTCATTGAATCGATGTCTATCAATTGAAAATGCTGGATTTTTTCAACATGCCTCTTGTTCAAAATGTGGATAATCAGTTTCCTTGAACGGGCCTTAAGAACCATACAATTAACATGATTAGCCAATGGAAAAGAAAATTTGGCTCATCCAGAGTGATCTGTCTGATTTGAAGTGTAATTGCATTCCCATCCAGGGCTCCTCATTTAATAAAGGTTTATATTAAAAAAATATTATTGCATATAACTCAGCCTTTTGGCTGGATGTTGCAGTGACTGACAGGCCTGTTACCTTTCTTCTCCCAAAGGGCAACATTGGTCTTCCCGGCCCACCTGGCCCTAGTGGAAAGGAAGGAAGCAAAGGACCCCGTGGTGAGACTGGACCTGCTGGACGCCCCGGTGAAGCTGGACCTGCTGGCCCACCTGGACCTCCTGGTGAAAAGGGATCTCCTGGTTCTGATGGACCTGCTGTAAGTAAATCCAAAATTCACTTTTCTTAAATGGAATGTTTGAGACAAGTTGGGCATCTCCTCTTTGAGAGTTGGAAAAATTAGTTAATTTGGTTACATTCCTCTTTTAAAAAAAAAATGCTTTCCTATCTTTGTATAGTTGTTTACTAGTTTATTTGTTTGCTTATGTTGATTTGAATAAAAAAGCATATGAGACACAAAAATCAGTGTCTTCTGTAGGGAGTTTCACATTTAGCCATCATTAGATAAGAACTCCTCTTTAGGAAGGCTATGGGTAGAAAAATAGGAAAGAATGATATTACTTCAAATATTAAAAACTATCAGGGCATCCATCAGTTTTCTCCATCATCTAAATCCTCCAAGATTCTTGTAATACAGAAGGGACAATACATTGTTTGTTGCTCAGTTACTGAGGCCTAGTTCCATCATCTTCTCCAAACTAACGTCCAATGGCAATGTTAGCTGAAGACAACAACATATGTGGTCTATACATCACTGAAGAATCAAGATGGGGAAATCTGGTAGAGCATACTACTCACAAAAAAGAAACCTGATTGTCCATTAAATCTATGCCTTGTTTCTAAAATCTATGATATTTTGTTTTATAGGGTGCACCTGGTACTCCTGGCCCACAAGGTATTGCTGGACAACGTGGTGTAGTTGGTCTTCCTGGACAAAGAGGAGAGAGGGGATTCCCTGGACTTCCTGGTCCCGTTGTGAGTACTTCTCTTCAGTTCAGTCAACTGGTGTTTTCAGAAATGCAATATGGATCCATTTTTATTCTTTAGCTTTATGAGATAAACTTTGATCTCCAAGAAAGAAGCAAAGTACTGGAAAAAATATCTCATAGGGGTCTCATAGGAGAGTTCACACATATGTAAGGCTACAAACATAGAAGAAAAATTTAAGTGGATTTTTCTTCAGACCAATAAATAAATAAATATGGACAAACTCAGTGAAGGTTTCCTTTTGTTTAGATGTTTCTTTCTTAAATAATATTGTGCTGAATGCATTTTTATGAAAAACACAGTTGATATGCAGGATATATTTCCAAGGAGCAGTGATTAGGGTTGCAACTGATGTCTCAAAGAAAGTGTTTTTTTTTAAATCCAGTTACTGTTCTTTATTTCTGCATATTCTTACAATGCACAGTAGCAATGGACTTGATTCGTTTGTTTCCCCATTTGTGATACTATTAATCTGCATTGCTACAGAAATAGTTTTGCTTTCTACTAGTGGTAAATTTCCCTCCACTCTGAGGCTGCACTAAAAAGATACATAGCAGTACTTTCTAAAGGAGCAATATGGTTTCAAAATTTCACACAGAGCAAAGCAGCAATATTTTCACTAATCATAACTCTATAGCTACTTGTTTGTCCATGAAACCCAGAGTTTTGCACAATTTATAGCCTTTCCTTTTCCTTGGACTTCTCAAGTTTGAAAATATGTTTTTTTTTAATCATAAGCGACCTGTTGCTCCTAACAAAACACAGCATATTATAAACCCACAGACTGGCTGATCGTCCATTCAAGTATTTATCAGAGTCATGTTGCTAAGCCTTCAAAATAGAGTTGATGGATCTTCTGGGTTTTAAAGCCCTTGTTCCTTGTTGAGAAGCCAGTCTTTTCTGAGAAATGTACTTCACAAATTCTTGGAATTCCATTTTAAATAATACATTACAATAACATAAAAGGACTCTTCAACTGCAGACACAGCAGCTGGAATTAATTTTTGGAGATATTTGCTTGCAAAAATTCTGACTGTAAATCTTTCAATCATTTTTCCCCTGTCATGCAGTCTGGTTTAGAATTTAGATAGTGAGCAATCTTACCTTGCACTAATCCAAAGGACAAGCACTTTTCTCAGAGCTAGCTATTCCATCAGGCAGTGAGATTTTTGTTTGGTCATATTTGGCTTGTCATGAAAAAGCAGCAAATGCTCAACTATTTAATCTACTAGGAGAAAAAGGGAAGATCTATGATCAAATTAGCTGGCTGACTATGCATTTTGATTTAAGTAATTCCAAATCAGGCAGCAAAATATTGTATCTTACTGTGTTTCTTAGGCCTTGAATTCTGGACAGGTCCTTTTATTAATATTTTCCCAGATACTGAGTACTAGAGAATATAATTCATAATCTATAAAAATTTTTTATTCTTTCTCTCTTTGGAACAGCAGTTCTTGTGAATCATAGCATTGCATTCTCTTTTGTGGTGCACAGGGTGAGCCTGGCAAACAAGGCCCATCTGGTTCTCCTGGTGAACGTGGTCCCCCTGGCCCAGTTGGACCCCCTGGATTGGCTGGACCCCCTGGTGAAGCTGGACGCGAGGTGCGTGCTCATTTTTCCAAAGGAGTTTGGTGCTTCCAACTCTCCTCAACATTTTTGTTCCTCTGTGCAAGTTTAGTGTCATCAAACCTGCTACTATTAATTTCAAAATAGATGTTTGTAGCTTTGCTATCCCTTAGAGGTAGAGCATGTCCAGTGTCATACAGGATGTCCCCAGTTCAATTCTTAAACTCTCTAGCTAAAAGATTGGTAGGAAATTCATGAAAGATCTGTGTTTGAGACCTTAGAGAGCTTTAAAGCATCAAGATAGGTGGAGACTAAATGAATCAGGGGTTGGATTCAGAACAAGGGAGCTTCAGGAAAAGACAATGATTAGGTAAATGAAACAACAATGATCAGATATATGAAAATCTGGAATTCAGTTTTTAGCGTTCAAAACTCCTGTTTAAAAGACTTCTGCTGGAGACCTTGGAGGGGTATTCTTCTTGGAGGGGTATTCTCCTTGGAGGGGTATTCTTCTTGATATTACCTAAGTAATATCCCAAGGTTTGACTTGGGATAGAGCCATTTCATACAGTCATGAATTCAAACTAAATATTTCATGGGAGAGGCTGGAATTCCTTATCAGGCATAGGATTCTAAATTCTCTATCGTGCTCAAGTTCAGGTTCCGGCTTTCCTTGATCTTGTTTAATCTGTATCCCTTCTTCCTTGATTCACAGGGTGCTCCCGGTGCTGAAGGTGCTCCTGGACGTGACGGTGCTGCTGGTCCCAAGGTGAGTTCATTAGTTATTGATATGAATCACAAGCCAAGTATCAAGAACTTACTGAGGCTACAAGATAATCATATTCAAATGAATCACATTCAAATCATATTTTAAATAAATATGGCTGGCTTCACACTGATTCTCTCCCTTTGCCTTTCTCAAATAGGGTGATCGTGGTGAGACTGGCCCTGCTGGTGCTCCTGGTGCCCCTGGTGCTCCTGGTGCCCCTGGCCCTGTTGGCCCTGCTGGCAAGAACGGAGAGCGTGGTGAGAGTGTAAGTGGCCTTTCCCCCCACCCCCCATTCTTGTGGCCTGTTTTGTATGTAGCAAGAGAAACCTTTTTCCAGACACTAGAGGGAACCTCTCCTGTCCCAAGAGTTGTGCTTCTGTACATGCAAGAGAATATCAATTCAAAACAAACTGATTTGCAATTGATTTTCATCTTCCAAAAATCAAGCTTCTCTTTTTGATAAAATGTCATTGATTCTTCACTAAATATCCACTTAGACTCATAGTTGTGGGAACAAAAGAGAGATTGAAGCCACTGTCTCAATAAAAGAAAAAAGAAGAAGATTTGTTCCTTGTAAAATAAAATATAATTCAATTCCAGACTTCTTGCTTGAAAAGAAGCAGTCCCATAGACTGATTTCCCAAAGAAATGAATAGCGAGTGGAGATGCTTAATTAATGGTGTGAACATTTCCTCCTCTTCTTTTTCTCCAGGGTCCCGCTGGTCCCGCTGGTCCTGCTGGTCCTGCTGGTGCTCGTGGTCCTGCGGTAAGTTGGAGTTTCTAAATACTTCTTTTTCTCAGAAGAAACCACATAATTTAAAGGTTATTCTAGTTATTATGTTAGAGGTTGCTCCAAGAGTCTTGCCATTGCATAGCACTGAATGAAGGTAGTTGACTTTGTTGTTATCCACATATATGCTATGTTTGCCTAAGACAATGTTTTCGGTAGCCGAAGTTTACAAAGAAATGATGATCAATAAGTTTTGCTGTGTTTGTTAAAAACTGATTTTAAAAAAAACTTTCTTTGTTCTTTTCCCAGGGTGCACAAGGTGTCCGTGGTGACAAGGGTGAGACCGGTGAACAAGGTGAAAGAGGCATGAAGGGACACAGAGGATTCTCCGGTCTTCAAGGCCCCCCTGGCCCCCCTGTGAGTATCTCTAATTGACCAAGAATAAGATTTAAGGTGTTGTTTTTTTTTAGCTCCAGTTGGTTTTAAAAAGTGGGGGAGGGATATGTGTTCTATGTTAATCCATTATGTTAGTCAATTTCCATGTCAATCCCACTGTCATAAGATTTCAGATCTGGATTCATGTGTAATTTATTACAATGTAGACTTTGAAAAATATCACAGAGTTTGTAGCTGTTCATGCTCCCTGTATAGAAAAGAATATTCTAATTCAAACAAATTTGCTATTCCAAATATTTTATTAAGGAGTTTCACTCAATGCCACAACTCTGTAGAAAATGATTAAATGGAAGCTCCAATGTTTAGAGTGTAGAAAGGTTTCTGAGCACAGGCAGGAAGGAAGAGTGTGCACTTTTCTGCTTTGGATGCGAGTTCTCAACTGAGCTGCATTTGTAATATACAAAAACTGCACTTTTTTGTAAAAGGAAATGCTGCCTATTGAAATCATTTTAATTTTGAAACTATTTCTACAAATTTTCCTAGAAAGAAATCAGCTTTTGAACAATAGCAGAACTATCTGCCCTCATCAAATATTTTTCCTTACAAATCAATATACAAATTAATAAATTCAAATCTACCAGTTTGAAATCAACGCCAGCAGGAATGTTTCTGATATCAGTATAATGTGGTAGGCCTCAAAAGGTCTTGCATATTGTGTTTTCTGATAATAGTAGACACAAAGTTGAAGCCACCCAATTGGCAGAGAAATAGACTTTCAAAAACATTAACATTTGGTTAACATTCTCTCTTCATGCAGAAAAGTTGTGTTATATATTCAAACATTTAAGTGATCACAAAAGACTGTATGCAGAAAAATAGATATGTACATACATCCATGTACACTGCATATGTATTGATTCCCTGAATCCATGAGAGAAGCCATTTTGCAACAGAAAGAGAGAGAGAGATTATGGGCAATTAAGAAGCCCAACATTTCATATTAAACATTATTAGACAAACTTCATTTTTAAGTGACTGTTAAGGTTGGGACTTCAGCTTTCTCACTTGTCATTGTATTAAAATAACCAGATACCTGCCGAGATGATTTGGTAATTGACAAGTTACTTTTTTGGTATAGGGCTCTCCTGGTGAACAAGGTCCTTCTGGTGCTTCTGGCCCTGCTGGCCCAAGAGTAAGTATGATTATTCCGTTACATTACCTGCTGTGTTATAACCATCCAGAATGAATAGGGAAACTCTGAGAACAACCTGAAATCACTTGAATCTGATCCGGGGTGCAGAATCATAATGCAATAACTGTGTTATTGCAGGAAGAGCATAACATATAACTCTAGTAATCTAAAGAAAAATGAGGCTGAATTTTGCTGAGACAAATGTCAGAAATATATTTCTATGCTGAATTGGATTCTAATGCTCAGCAAACATATAGTATTGTTTTAGAAGAAAAGAGATACATCCTGTTATTTCAAAAAAAGAGAGATTTGCTGGATGTGTCTTATTTTAGCTCTTTTTTTTCTTTTCTATCTTATGCCAAATGCTCACTAATCATGTTTTTTTCTCTTCTTGACAGGGTCCTCCTGGATCTTCTGGTTCCCCTGGCAAAGATGGTCTGAATGGTCTCCCTGGTCCCATTGGCCCACCTGGACCTCGTGGTCGTACTGGTGATGTTGGCCCTGCTGTATGTATTGATTTTAGAAATATCACAACTTACCTACAATGAGTCGAAAATATTTTTGCCTTTAATTCTTCATATTCCTCCTGTAGGGTCCTGCTGGACCTCCTGGACCCCCTGGTCCCCCAGGTCCACCTAGCGGTGGCTTCGACTTCAGCTTCCTGCCCCAACCTCCTCAAGAAAAAGCTCATGATGGTGGCCGCTACTACAGAGCTGATGATGCTAACGTAATGCGTGACCGTGACCTGGAAGTTGACACTACCCTCAAGAGCCTTTCTCTTCAGATTGAGAACATCCGTAGCCCCGAAGGAACCCGTAAGAACCCAGCCCGTAGTTGCCGTGACCTGAAGATGTGCCATGGAGAATGGAAGAGTGGTAAGTGCAGGACAAGTCATATCTGAGCCTCTAAAACAGCATGTACTACTACAGATTATCTTCTTTGCATCTGAACATGTTGCCTTGTGCTGTCAAAATTGCTGTTCTTTCTTCTTTCACTGCTGATCTTTTTCTTACATGCTTTCATTAACTAAGTTATTCACAATATAGCTATTGATTCAGCCGGGATCAGCAAGATCCTTTGAGCAGAATATTCAGAAATTTCACCTAAATATTAATTCTATTAAGAATGTTTTCTTTCTGCAGAATATGATCTGCATTGATCTAAGTGTGATTCTTTTTCCAAGAGAGTTACAAAAATTAACAACTGTTGCCTGTTCCAACTCTTCAAAGAGAAGTAATAAGTTAGGATGTTCTTTCTTCTGTCAATTAGTAATAGTGGAAAGTGATGCATCTCCTTTTATTGAATATGGTCATGCTCTGCCATTAATCCTTAGGCCCATTATTTTCATAGAGGCATATATGCATTCATTCATTGTTTTCATACATGAATATTCATCATCACCACCACTATCACCATCAAATGTTGCATATATTTTAGGAGATGGAGAGGCCACTTGGACTGTTTTTGAGAACAAAGAACCTATAGCATGGGAAGATGCTATAGAAAAGAAGAAATGAAGAAAATAGAGTTAGCGAATCAGTCAATGAAATAAATGAGAATTGTGTCCCTTTCAACATCGTCTGTCAAATTACTAATTTATTTTCCCTGATAAATAGGCATGTATTGGATTGACCCCAACCAAGGCTGCAATCTGGATGCCATTCAAGTCTATTGTAATATGGAGACTGGAGAGAGCTGTGTCTACCCAGCTCAGGCCACTATTGCACCGAAGAACTGGTACATCAGCAAGAACCCTAAGGAGAAGAAACATGTCTGGTTTGGAGAGACTATGACCGATGGCTTCCAGGTCAGACAGGAAAGATTAAGCAATATTGTTTCTGGGTGTTGTGGAAGAATTTCTACAGAAGATGAGGTAAATACTACTTTACTTTTTTCTTTTCTCTTGGCAGTTTGAATATGGTAGTGAGGGATCCAACCCAGCTGATGTTGCCATCCAACTGACCTTCTTGCGCCTGATGTCCACCGAGGCTTCCCAGAACATCACCTACCACTGCAAGAACAGTATAGCTTACATGGATCAACAGACTGGAAACCTGAAGAAATCTCTGCTCCTCCAGGGCTCCAATGACATTGAAATGAGAGGAGAGGGCAACAGCCGTTTCACCTATTCAGTTATTGAGGATGGCTGCACGGTGAGTCTTCAGGTCCTTTAGAGCAGGTTCCCCAACCCCTAGACCATGTACTGGCACCAGTCCATGGCATGCCAGCAACTGGGCCATGCAAACAAGGGAAGCTCCATCCAAGGGATGCAGGATGCATGTGAAACCATGCCCTCTCCAGTCCATGGAAATACCTTTCTCTGCTGAACCAATCCCTGGTGCCCAGAAGGCTAGGTGCTCCTGCTTTAGATGGGGCAGCTCCATTTGCAGCAATAACAATAGCACTTAGACTTATATACCGTTTCACAGTGCTTTACAGCCCTCTCTAAGTGATTTACAGAGTCAGCCTATTGCCCCCAACAATCTGGGTCCTCATTTTACCCACCTCGGAAGGATGGAAGGCCGAGTCAACCTTGAGCCTGGTGAGATTCGATCTGCCAAATTGCAGATATCTGGCTGCAGCAGAAGTACTTGCAGTACAGCACTCTAACCACTGCGCCACCAAGTCTCTACCACTGCACCACTAGTTTCTAGTGTTGGGTTCAGGCTCAGGCTCATAATCTTATGTGTCTGATGTTCCTAATTTTCAAGATAATTTTTAAAGAGCCAGTTTGATCTAGTAATTAAGGTATCGGGCTAGAAACCAGGGGATTGTGCATTTTTCATCCCACCTTAGGCAAGAAAGCCAATTGGATGGCTTTAGGCCAGTCAGTGTCTCTCCACCCAACATACCTCACAAGGTTGTTATGGTGAGAAAATAGGAGGAAGAAGGAGTATTGAGTATGATTGCCACCTTAGGTTATTTATAAAAATAATAACTATGAGTAAATAAATAAAGGTCTTCCATTTAGATCTTTGCAGAATAGTAAAATGTCCATACTTCGTAGTTAAGTCTTGACTAAGATTCTTAGGGAAGGGACTGTTGAAAGTTAAGAAACAAAGCAAGAGGTGAAGGCTTGATGATTCCCCTCACCATTTATTCAAATTTAAGAGATTTAAATTTCAAAGCTCTAGTTGTTTTCAGGCTGAGGAATGGGGAATCAGGATTTAAGAACACAGATCTCTGATGAGTGCCTTATACAGCATATATAGCATTAGTAATTTTATACCATTTTCATTTCCTTTACAGAGTCACACCAACACTTGGGGAAAGACAGTCATTGAATACAAGACAACAAAAACTTCCCGGTTGCCCATCATTGATGTGGCTCCAATGGACGTTGGTGCTCCAGACCAGGAATTCGGCTTTGATGTTGGACCAGCCTGCTTCTTGTAAACCCCAAAGGAAACCTGACAGTTTTAAAAATAAAATAAAAAACAGCCAAAAAAGAAGGAAATTTCACATGGACTTGAATTTGTGTCTTTTTCTATCCATCATCTCTAAAACTATTTTCGTTTCCGTTAAAAAAAAACAAAAAAAGCATTAAACCAAAAAAAATAAAAATAAATGACTTTTGAAAAATAATTAAGGAAGTGCATCCACTTGCTTGACTTTTTTTTTAATTAGAATCACCGAAGACAGAATGGCTTGATTTTACCTTCTTCATTTTTAAAATCATGTAATATCTTGGGATCACAATTTGCACATTCCAAATAAATATATAGATTTACCATACAAATGATAAAAATCAGTACCAACTAAGGAACACCTGAATATTAACTATAATTCTTGGGGGGAGAAAACAAAATCTGTTGCTTCCAAGGCAACAAAAAAGCAATGCTAAACTAGTCTTACATCCTGCCCATAACATCCTCCTAATTATTGTAAACTTACCCTTTAACCTGGTAGTGAAAAAAGACCCCAAAATTTCCTTATAGGCCATCTTTCTCTGCTGGCAATTTTACATTTTTTTATTTGTTTTTATACAGAGCAATATCACAGAAAAAATAATTCTTTCAGCCATTGTAAGTGTATTTCTTTTTTCTGTTTTGTTCAGCCGGCAATAGAAAGGAGTTTAATTAATTTTAAATAAAGGTGTGATGGTGAATGGTTTTCAACACAAATATAAATTTGGACAAGTGTTAACAGCTAATAATGCTGGTATACCTGCAAAGATGGTTGGTGGTTGTTTTTTTAAAAAAAAGAGCAAATGGAGAAAATTGGTTTAATAGCTACAAATATGTTGTCGGTGAACAAGTGAAGAAAAATAAATGGCTAATACAGAAAGCAGAGAAATTGCAATGTTAAATGTATGTTATTATTGTAATGGACAGCTACCTCACAATTGTGATTTCCAAGTTCTTTGCGGTAGTTTTGGAGTTTTTTTTTCAATGCCATCACCAGGCTGAGGGGCAGCAGGGAATAAGGCAGAGGTCCAAGTTTAGCGAAAGGTGCTAAAGCTGTGTCTCTTTATTTTATTTTATTCTTTTAGTCTGCTATGTTAATAATGTTCAGGTCCCGTGGAATTAATTCTGAAGTGGTGAAACACGAACAACTTTTGCTCCAAGCAAATTCTGTTGCTTATAGAAATGGAAGTATTAGAAGGGGGAAATAATAGAATTAGTGTCTGGATGCCCAAAGATACTTGTGAATTTTCAAACGGTGCTAATTTTCTTAAGCAAAACGAAACCAGGATGACAAAAAATAACAATTAAAAATTGTTGCAAGGGATCAAGGTCTGAAATTTTTCTATTGTTCTCTTGTAAAGCAGGTGGATTCCTTTTTGGCTTGCCTTTTTTCCCATCCATCCAGGTCTTCTCCATCACCATCCCTCTTTCTTCTTTCCCCCCCTCCCTTCTTTTTTTACCCTGCTAGCAAATTCTTGTGCTGAGTCTTCTTGCTTTTTAATGGTCTTCACTCATTGCTAAAAAAAACCACAACCTTTTCCTTTCTTCTACCTCTTCTTTGCTCTCAATCTCTGTCTCCTTAACTCTTCTTCCCCCCTCTCCCTTTGTGGGTTCAAATTCAAGCAAATCCATTCTTCTCTGTAACAAGAGGCAGATGTTCTAGGGAGTATGACCGACCGAAGATTCTGTACCTATTTTGTATATGTATAATAATTTGAGATGTTTTTAATTATTTTGACTGCTGAAATAAAGCATGTGAAATGATCCAAATATACCAGTTGTTCTTCAAATTTTTCTGTCATGCAAAGCCAGGAAATGGCTGGGGTGCTGGCTGATGGGAGGGATCGGGACCATAGTTTATATACATTTTGGGAATATCCACACTTGCAAGCATAACAGCCTTTAAATAAAGCTTTCAGATCCTTCAAGTAGTCACCCAGATATTTTTCAGCTCAGATCTGGTAGACTTATCATTGAAGACATATACCAACCCGGCTTTCTTAAAAGGAATCACGAGGCTAGATTTGTAAGGATGCTGATAAATTTTCATTTGAGGTCCTTCCTTTCTATGCATCCCAGTAGAAGAAGCCACAACAATTAAAAAAAGATTATTAACAATATATATAATAAGAATATATAAAAGAAAGGGAGTCCGAAAAGGCTTAGTAGTTTTTCTTTTTCATGATACCTTTCCTATTGTTTCTCGCTTTGCTTGCTCTGTCCTGTTTCTCCTTAGATGCCAACTATTCTTTTCCCCCTGCTATTCCCCTATAGTGACATCTAGAATTTTTCATTGTTTCTCTCACCCTGCAGCACCACAACAGAGCTTGCCATTCTTTTTTAATTGGGCAAACCCCTGTCCCTTCGAACACCGTTGAAAACCGCAAATATTAAGCAAAAATGGCTCCTTCATGGATTTATCTTGGCTCCCTACCCCCAAATCAAAATTCACTTACTATGTGGGTGTCTCTCCAATTCTCGGGGCCTAGTAGGGTATTGGAAATGAACAGTTCACTTCTCCCCTTCTGTAGGCTGTGGAAGGTATTTTTCACCAACATTTCATTTCAGCTTTGTAATTTTCTGCCTCTCTGGCCTTTCTCTTATTTTATCATAAAGTCCTCCCCTGCCCCGCACCATCCCATCTCTGTCTCTGTTTCTCTGTCTCTGTTTCTCTGTCTCCCTCTCTCACCCCCTCTCCCCTTTCCTCCTCCTCTCTCTCTCTCTCTCTCTCTCTCTCTCTCTGATAACAGATAATCAGAGTTGGAAGGGACCTTGTAGGTCATCTAGTCCAACCCCCAACCCAAGTGGGAGACCCTACACCATTTCTGACAAACAGCAGTCCAATCTATTCTTGAAAGCCTCAAGTGATGGCGCTCCCACAACTTCCGAGGGCAAGCTGTTCCATTGGTTGATTGTTCTCACTGTCAGAAAGTTTCCCCTTATTTCCAGGTTCAATCTCTCCTTGTTCAGTTTCCATCCATTATTCCTTGTCTGGCCTACAGGAGGTTTAGAAAACAGCTTGACCCCTTCCTCCCTGTGGCAGCCCCTCAAATATTGGAAGACCGCTATCATGTCTCCCCTGGTCCTTCTCTTTACTAGACTAGCCAAGCCCAGTTCCTGCAACCGTTCATTGTATGTTTTAACCTCCCTCCCTCCCTCTCTTATTCATTCTTTCTCTTTTTAAATCACAAAAGCTGAAAGATTTGTTGGGGAAGAGGAACCCCAAATAGATAAAATATTATTTGATTATAACCACAGAAAAGTAAAGCGGCGGGATAAAGGACCAATGGATGCAAGATTAGGAGAAATATAGTAGTAGACATATCAAAATGCTCAGATGGTACTCACATGTTCCTAAAAATAAATCCAAGAACTGATACTTTTCTTCTCTGGATCCTGCCATATGGAATTTGTAGTCAGTCTTTGCAGCCTCTTTTCTTTTTCTCCAGCAACACGAGATAGGTATCCTTGTTTCAACACAAATTTATGTAGCTTCATCTCTTCTTTTTCATGTCTTTCTAGGATATTCATTCCATCCTCACCTTTCTCTCCATTTGTGCCGCCTACTTATGATTTTCTAATAATGTTCTTTTCCCTTCTAACAAGTTCTGCTGTAGCTCTTTTGGCTTCTCTGAGAACTTTGCAAATGGGACTGAGCTTTCCTTCTTCTTGCTTACCTGATATTCTGAGCATGAAAAAAGCCCCTTCCCCCATCCAATGGGGCATCCTCTTCCCTCCACCTGCCCAGAAAGTTGAACAAAGTTCAATAGCTCTCATTCAGAAGCTAGCAAGGGGTGGGCTTCTTTGTATGAAAGGCTGCTTTATAAACAGAATCTGGAGACATCACACATAGCAAATATTTTGCCCTACCAAAAGAAGCCGGATAGAGAAATGCACAGTTGGCCTCCCAAACTTATGAATATTGAGCTTATAACACATACCATGCACAATGAATAGAGAGGGTTCTGCATTTAGATCAAGGCTCAAATGCAAGGCATAACACAACTGTTTCAATAACTTTTGCTTCTGATGCTGCCAACATCTCTCTTTCTTTAAGGCTTCTCAGTCTTTTGTTCAAGCCATTCCATAGTGATAAATCTAGCAAAACTTCATCTTCTCCCTTCTATTGCCATTTGATCTCTCATCCTGCTGTTGTCACACTTTTATTATTCTGGGTCTTTTTTTCAATTTCTCAGTGGTGGACCCTTTATTCCTTCTAGCATTCAAGATGAATCTGACTAGATTTATGCATTTATTTAGCATAGGGCAAATATATGGACTTATAGTGATTCAAATGTTAATGTCTAGTCCAACCAACTATTCAGGGACCAGGTGATCTATGTTGGAAAAAAAATCAATCATTGGGGCAATGTAAGCTCGTGATGGATATTCGGACACAATGTAACGGATATTTTGTAGAGGACCACCACAGTCACACTGAGGGGTAGAAACAAGACCCCACTTAAACAATGAGTTCTGGTAGACCCCATGTTGGGTACAGATCCTGTTCAGAGTTGACCAATGCTGGCAAGGAAGGTCAAAACTTGGCACCTTTTGTGTAGGATCAACTACGCATCTGCCTGTATCTGGGCATTCAGCTTTCCACTGTAATGTCAAAGTGGTTAGACAACTGTTGACTGAATGCCAGAGAGAGCTTCCTGGATTTAAGCCTGCCAATTGATAGATGAGAAAGATCAACGTGCAGAAGTGGGTTTCTCATAATTTTGTTGAACTCCTTCACTAAGTCTTGATGCCTTCCTAGAGCTGGTGGTGCAATGTGGCTCAAGATGGGAAGCCAGCAAGTAGGAGTAGATTTTTCTTAATGCAACTGCTTATGATCCTCATTATATTGTTAGTCCAGCATCTATCTTGCTAGTGTGGCAGCTATTAAGCCAAACAGAAGCGCAGTATTCAGCTGTGGAGTAGACCAACTCTATAGAGGTGGGATTCAAATTTCTTAACAACCAATTCTGTGGGTGTGGCCTGGTGTCATGTGACTGGGTGGGCATGGCTTGTATGTAAATATTATAAATATTTATGTAAACATTGATTTTTTTATTTAAAAAAGAGCAATTTTTACCCAAAAGCAGGCAAAGCAGGCAGGCAGATTGAGTTGCTCACAGAATTACAGATTCACTTAGAGATCTATCTTTCTGCAATAGGCTACTTGAGTCTGTCACATAGAATTTGCTTGAAAGCAAACTCATAAAATTTGCTAGCAAGCAAACTCACAAAATTAACTCACAACACACCATGTATATAAATATTTTTTTATTTAAAAAAGAGCAACTTTTACCCAAAAGCAGGCAAAGCAGGCAGGCAGATTGAGTTGCTCACAGAATCACAGATTCACTTAGAGATCTGTGTTTCTGCCATCTGCTACCTGAGTCTGCACTGAATAATAGAAGCTTCAGGCTCAGCTCTGCTTTTAGTTTAGCTAGAAAGCAAGAAATCCAAGGATTTCTAGCTAATCTAAATCTCCCGGCAGAGCAGAACTGCTGAGGGTCAGGGGTGGGGGAGGAAAAATAGCAAGTTACCAAACCAGGCAAGTTGGATGGCTCACATGCCAGGTAAGGAGTGAGTGGACGGGGAGGGGAGGGGCCAGCCAGTGGAGCGATTTGCCGGTTCTCCAAACTGCAGGGCGCGCAGGTACACAGTATTTGAAAATCCTCTTGTTTCCTGCTTTTTCAATCTCTGAGGAGGAAAAAGCAGGGAATAAAGGACAGCCTAGAGCCTGGGCAGGCGGGTGGGCCAAACACCGAACTGGTTCAGTGTCAGCTGCTCTTCGCAGCTACAGGTTCTAAAGAACCGGGCCAAACCAGTAGCATCCCACCCCTGCAACCCTAGTGCTGATATTCTGAAAGTAGAGGCTACCCAACTTGATCCTCTTAGTTTCTGGAGTAAATTGTTCCTGGTATTGATTTTAGTGGACATGTCGTCTAGGTATTTCTTATAGGAGACAGTCTGATACAAAGTTACTCTGGGGTTTTTGGGGTGAGGGTCATAAGGGAATAGGCTATTATTCAGGGAAACCTTCAGGGTGGCATTGGCGAGTCTGTTGTTGAGATGGAAACAGGCGTTGTTAAGATAGAAACACCATTTCCTCGGGGACTTCAGGTCCTCAGAGAGGAGGCAGTCCAATATTTCCAAATTTTTATCTTGCACTGCTAGGGCCAGGTCATCTGCATATCCAAATTTATATCCCCTTGTAGCTGGCATATCTGAGATATAAAGACTGAACAATGTGGGTGCCAGTACAGAACCTTCTGCCAGTACAGAACCATTGTTGAGTCTTCTTAACTTGCTAACATTGTCTCCCGTAATGATCTGAAAGGATCTATCGCTGAGCATGTTATTTATTAGACGATAGAGGATTTTATAGTAGATGGTGTGACTCAGTTTATAGAACAGAACCTTCTTCCACATGGTATCATATGCTGCTGTAAGATCGATGAACACAGCTGTGGTTTTTAAGCCTTGGTGGGTGGGACTCAGAAGAAGGCCCTTCTCCGTGGTGGCTCCCTCTCTCTGGAACATCATTCCCCCAGAGATTAGAATGGCCCCCTCACTAATACTCTTCTGGAAGGCACTGAGGACCCAGTTCTGCCAATGGGCCTGAGGAACCCAGAGCGGGATGGAGCCGATCAAATTGCTCATGTGATCCGCTGTCATCAGGACGGGGTGGGTAAGAGTTGGAGGTGACTTTTTTTCCAGATTTTGTTCTATTATACTTTATTAATTTATTTAATTCTTTTTGTTAATTTTTTAAT